CGATGAACTGAATGGGGTCCCCACTAAATACAGACGGCTCTGGAACTGGAAGTCTATTTAGAGCCATACTGTCTTGTAGGGCTTGGGCAAGGGATGACACGTTTAGGTCGGGTGGCGATGCTGTGACGGTGGGAGTTGGAGGGTTGATAGCAGGGGGAACATGATGGTTTCCCACTGAACTATTAGAGGAATGGAGACTGCCTTCCTGCGAGGCTACCTGGCTGTAGACTTGCAGTTTGGCCCGAGCGGCCCTCAAATTCTTTTCTGCTTGGAGGCGTTCAAGTCTGCGCTTTTCTACTTCCATTTTTCTGTGCTGTTCCTCTATCTTCTCCATTTGTCTCTCTTCTTCCAGCAACCCTTCAAATTCGACTTCCTTAGCAGCTAGCTCTGCTGCTGCATCCGCCTGTTTGAGTGTTAGAGTAGTGCCTTTGTGACTACGGATTGACTTTGTCACTCTAGATGCAGTGGATCCATAGATGGAGCGTGCGTAGCTGTTCTTAAGCAGCTCCCTGAGACGGCAATGTACTTGTTCTGCATCATAATCACCATCGAGATCTGACATTCTCTCGTAGGTAACTTTCATAATTTCGGCTGTAACTGCCTCACAACTGTCAACGTGACGTCTTAATTCTGGAGAAGGTGTAATGTGACTTCGTATTTCAAGGTAAGTGTTTAACACAGTTTCTTTCTCTTTCTCCAAAGAATCCATCAAAGATGCCAGCTCGCCTTTACTAATGTCTGACTTGAGCTGCTCTCTTGACTCTCGGGCTCGAATCTTCCATCTTTCGTACGTTGAGATGAACTTTCTTTCCCTTTTTCTTGCTTCCTCCTGTTGCATTTCGAGCGCCTTTGGAGTTGGAAATTTTGTTCGAGTGGAACGTCGGAGGCCTTCCTTAAGCTCACCTTGTAAGTTGTTCAACGTTTCTTCTCTGCGTTGAATTTCCTTCTCCAAAAGTTCTATTTCCGTAGTTTCTGATGTGTCTTCAAGAGACGCTTTAAGCCCTTTGATTTTATTCTGCAGGTCGACTATCTGATGCTCTAGTTCTGTTTGTGAGGAGGGAGTCTCCATTTCCTTCGTGTTTATGTTATTTACTTATCTAATTTGCAGGCTTTAGTTAATGAGCTGCTTGTGGTTACTATAACTTACAGGCTGCATTAACAGAAGGGAGGAGAATCTTTGCACTTTAAACCAAGTTGAAATAGAAGCGGATAACCAACACAACATTGAGAAGAAATGTATAAAATAATGAATGCAACCTGCTAGCTGTTGCAAACTGATGTGGTAAAGTAAACCTCTTATGCTAAACACAGATCAATACACCATTACTATTGTACAGTTACAAATTGAACTAAATGCCCCTCTTTCACCCCCTTTTGAGTCAGTAGAAAGAATGATAAATATACAGTAGTGGTGGTAAATACCAATAAACAAAATTACTTCACTTGTTATTACTTCATGTCCGTCGTGTCTTAATGCAGCAGATGTCCACAGTAGTTGACGACCTTCTCTCTCCCTTTAACCACCACTGATGAGAATGAATGTCCTTTCCTTGTCGATTAGAATGAAATGTTCCATACCTTTTCTGACCGTCACATCAAACCATTAAGCCAGCTGCATGATGATTATAAAGTCTCTGTCTAGAAGACCCATAGAATGGCACTGAGTTGCTCCGTGAAATGTCTTGTCAATCCCAGACGAATAGCAACACAGCTCCGTGACTCGTCCTCGTGGTTCCGTGGTGCAGGATGGCAGCAGGATGATGCGGGGGATCAGCTCTTACTGTAGCATTCCAGCCGGACTTTATTCAGACGATGCACTCAATGATCATTACGGATGGACCATGGTGGGGTATTCCAACCCATTTATTCACAAATTGCCATAGACACATCGTAAGAGCTGTAACCATAACATAAAACAAACATTCACATAACCACGTTTCTGTTATGCTAATCAATTCACAGAAAAGGCACAGGAGGTGCTAGCATCAGCCTGCTAGATCGCTCATAAACTTATTAACAATCAAGTAATACATTTACAAATTGTCCGAAATGTAAACAACAAGTACAACACACAAACATACCTGTTCGCCTTCCAGCTAGATGCTAATTTTAAGATGGATGGAAAACGATAACCTTCTCATTTAATCCTTTCTGCGGCAAGCAGTTGCGGTACGATCTTCCTTCCCGGAAGTTGCCCGTTACGAATTTCAAAATAAGAGTTTAATCTATATTATAAGGTATAATTCGTTCAGGGATTTAACTGTTTGAAAAATATCAAATAAACAAATAATCTGGGTCATTTACAGGGGGTCATGACCCAGGTCACCCGTCATGGAGGTGCTGTGTTTCAGGCAGAGAGGACCCAAATGCATACACTAAAATAACTAAAATGTACAAAGCTTAAACTTAAAAAATCTTCTTAATGCAGGGGTGGGGAACTCAAGGCCTCAAGGGCTGTTGTCCTGCAAGTTTTAGATATCACCCTGGGCCACCACACCTGAATCAAATGATTAGTTCATAACTAGGCCACTGGACAACTTGACTAATGGACTAATTTAGCCATTTAAATCAGCCATGTTGGATCAAGGACACATCTAAAACCTGCAGGACACCGGCCCTCGAGGCCTGGAGCTACCCCACCCCTGTCTTAATACAAAGGAAAGAATAATAATTCCACACAAAACTCAAAACACTGTGACATCACCCAATTAAAGTTTGTATGGTTCTGAAAAAGAAAGTCTAACAAGAATACCCACCACCACGACTACTACTATTGTTATCCATCATGAGCATACATCTGAGAAGGTGTCGAAACCAGAGACTGAGGCTACGTCCATACATACACGGGTATTTTTGAAAATTGAATTTTTCCATTTTTGTTTTTTTTTAAAAACCTGTCCAGATGTAAACGCCAAAAACACAGTCAAACACTGTCAAGAACATGTGAAATCCTAGCCGTGCAGAAATTTTGGCCAATCGGAATTCTAGAAGCCTGGGAAGGAAAGAGTAAACACAGTTTATACAGTACTTAAAGTGTTTGTGTTTTTCTGTGAAGGCAGCTAATTTTCAAGTGCCTTCATCATTTCAAATGTTAATAATTAAAGACAGTATTTTGGCTGTTATGTAGACTCACAACTTAGGAATGAACAAAATGCATACAGCATACATAAATGTAATTAAAAAAAATAAATTTATTCTGAACTGACATCATGATTTAGGTTGTGAGAGCCTCTGTGTTGAATGGAGAAGTTCACTCTGATGCCTCCATCTTTCTAAATGGAGGGACATTAACTGTGTGTGTACATGTAAGCGTTTAAAACTACAGTTATTTCCTCTAGTTTCCTACAAGTGAGTAGAGAAACAACAGAATTATAGTAGAGGGCATCAGCAAGAATCCAAAAAGATTAACTGTAACCAAATCCATCCATCCATTCTATCCATTTTCTTCTCCGAGCCAGGTCACAGGGGCAGCAGCCTAAGCAGAGAAGCCCAGACCTCCCTGTGCTCAGCCAACTCCTCCAGCTTGTCTGGGGGAACATCAAAGCGTTCCCAGGCCAGCTGAGAGATATAATCCCTCCAGCGTGTCTTGGGCCTGCCTCAGGCAAACCTCCTGGCGAGACATGCCTGTAACACCTAACCCAGGATGCGCCCAGGAAGAATCCTTTTTTAAATGCCTGAACCACTTCAACTACCTCCTTTCTATGTGAAGGAGAACCAACCCTACTCTGAGCCCCTCCCAGGTGGCTGAACTCCTCACCCCATCTCTAAGGGAGAGAACAGTCACCATTCAAAGAAAGCAAATTTCCACCACCTTTATCCGTGATCTCGTTCTTTTGGTCACTACCCAGTGCTCATGACTGATCCAATGTTCTGCAAACAGGACGAAAAACCACATCCGAGGTTCGACTGATGGACAGCCTCCTTTCCAGCACCCTGTCATAGACTTACCCAGACTGAGAAGCGTGAGTCCCCTATAGTTGGAGCACATACTCCAGTCCCCCTTCTTGAAGATAGCCACTACCCCAATGTGCCAATCCAGAGGTATCGCTTCAGATTTCTATTCAACAATGTAGAGGCAAGTCAACCAAGGAAGCCCTAAAGCATCCTTCAGGAATTTGGGGTTAACCTCGTCGACCCCAGGGGCTGCTAGAAGGAGTTGTTTAACTGACTTGGTGACCTCACCCTCAGTGATGGATGACTCATTCCCTCATCCCCACACTCTGCTGAAAGATGTGTCAGTGGGATCCTGAGTTGCCAGAATTGCCTTGAGGCAGTCTTACAGTCTTTTTCACCTGCCTCACTGAACTCCTCAAACACCAGCGTTTTTCCAGCCACTGCCAAAGCCTCTAAAGTCCTTGTTAAATCCTGCACTTGACAATGACATGTGCAATTGTCTTGAAGTTAGCCTATACTGTTGTTCGCCACATCCCCATCAAACTCCTGATGAAGAGTGTTACGGTCCCATTGATCTTGTATTGTTCTAGGCATTCCAAGAGCCATGTGTGAGGCCATGAGCTGTAGTCTTTCTTTTAGTTAACACAGGCAGTGCACAGACTGGTCAGTCTGGTCTTACAGTTTTGAGTTGCTATCAGTGAAACGTTTGCTTCATGTGTAAACATACTATTTGTCCACAATTATACTTTCTGCTGACAATAGTTTTTCAGTTCAGAAGTTCCTTCAGCTGCATGTATGGTGTTGGTGTTTAAAGCTTTGACAGTAAGTAAAGATCCGGCTTAGACTGTGTGCAAATTTGACATAAAGTTAACTAGTGCAAATTCATGTCCAGTTTTAAGATCACGCATTAATACTTATAGAGTAATTGTTTTAATTGCTATTGTGCAGAGAATTGATTGGTCAGTAGGAGGTGATTTCATGTCTGTTGATCTCTAATCTGAAGCATAACCTCTTTCATAATACAAGTCTCTGGTTTGGGCTTAACGTATCTATGGTATGTAGATTTCCCATATCATGAACTTCTGACATACATGAACAAATCTCACCTGTGCCAATTGCAGGAAATGATACAGAGGTGTAGGAGCTTTTCACACACATCTGAAGTGCATCTTTCACAACCTTGTTGATTTTTATTGGGTCAGACTCTCCAACCATGTGAAGGATCTTCTTACACTTTAGGTTACCTGGCTGAGTCATTATCATGCCTGGATTGGACTTGGCACCTAAATGTGGAGATCGTGGATCTTTATGTCTTTTACCCTTAATGACCATGAGGATGCTTATTTAGGCCATATTTCCTTTATTGGCAATCTTAGAGTATGATTACAAAAATGGGCTTTATATTAAGTCAGCTTCATTTTTATTGTTGAAAAAAACCCAAACTGTTATACTGTAGGTTGAGTCTACTCTGAGTTACAGTGTCATAAAATCTAAAAGTTAAAGTGATTTCTTACCGAAGTTATGGCATTCCACTTCAACAGCCTTACCAGCTGCGTCTAGAATAGCTTTAGAGACTCCTGGATAAAGTGGAAAAATTATACACATAATAAAAATTAAAGATAATGATTACTGTATTCATCTTTTGTGTAATTTAATACTTAATTTAATAAGATGCTTAATTCTTCTGTTGACTGCTATGTCCACTGTGCAGTAGTGAGGAGAGAATTACATATAACTATAAATATTTTTCAGAACTTGAATATTCCACTTTTTTCTATGATTTACCTGACTTAAGTGAAAAGCTTTCATTGGACGAGTTGACAATGATATCAGTTGTCTCCTTGGTTATGTCTCTTGTGACTACCTGTATAGTCACATTTCCCATTTTTGTCTCATGCATATCTGAGGTCGAGGTGAGCTTAGAGAAGGGGCCTCCTGGCATCAACAATTGAAAAAAAAAACAACAACATTTGAAATGTTTGCAAAAGTTGTGATAAAAAAAATTAAAAACAAACAATATTATGTGCATTCACCTTTTGTTGAACGTGAATCGCCTGAGGCATTTGGAAACTTCTTAAATTCCTGACTGAAATCCTGCAAAAATAAAACCAAATTCTACAACTGAAAAAATTCACTAATATTTAAACCAAGATAGAAGTTAAACGATGCAATATACCAAGCACCAGCCTGCAGAGTTTAAAAACAAAGTTCACACAGAATTCAATTTCGTAAAAGGCCACTTGAGGCCCATCTCTGTGCTGGAGGTCAGAGAACACTTGCAAGACTACTCTGAGGTGGTATGAAGGCAACAATGACTCAACCACTCGTTGCAAACATGTATGCAGAAAAACATCTATGAAAGCACAACACATCTGAAGTAGATGAGGTACAGCAACAGAAGACCACAGTGGGGACCACACCTGCCAGCTAAGAACAGGAAACTGAGACTAAAATTCACACAGGCTCACCAACACTGGACAACAGAAGACTGGAAAAATACTTTGTACCAGTGGCCTCCACAGACCTCAATCCGGCAGAGCACTCTTGGTACGTACTTGAAAGGGAATTTGGGATAAGCAGCTAATAAATCTGCAGCAATGAAAATTAAATTAAATGGTAAATGGTAAATGGCCTGTATTTATATAGCGCTTTACTAGTCCCTAAGGACCCCAAAGCGCTTTACATTTCCAGTCATCCACCCATTCACACACTGGAGGAGTGTGATCCTCCTATAGTTGGAGCACATGCGTTTGGCGCATAGGCACAGACAACAGTCAGGAACCCTTCCCTGACCCGAAGGTGCAGAGAACAAACCCTGTCATCCACTGGGGAAAACTAATGTACAGACAGCAAACTTTGGGATACTAAGATACCCACCCCAGGCTACTGCCTCTCACCTTGGATAACTACAGCCAAACTATATCTAGCCGGTACTTCCTGACCTCACGCACTACCTCGGGCTCCTTTCCCATCAGAGAGGTGATGTTCCATGCCCCAAATGCTAATTTTGGTAGTTAGGGATGGGTTTGCTGGGGTCGCCACCCCTGGCTGCTGCTTAGCACACACTGCACCGCCTCTTGTGGGTGGTAGGCCTACAGCAGGCTAGTTCCATGTCGCATTTTTGGGCTGTGCACGGCTGGGATCCATACGCTAAGGCTCAGTCATCAGGCACTCGCCCTCAGGCACCCTCTCAAGCTCCAGGGTGGGGCTCCTGTAAACCTATCCCAGGCAGAGTAAACTGTTCCCTTGATTTTGTTCTCATTGTAGTTTTTAAATCGCTCTTTGTCTGGTCCCTCACCCAGGATCAGTTTGTCATGGGAGGACCTACTGACAAGATAGCCTCTGGGATACCTGGAACATACAAACTCCTCTACTATGATAAGATAGTGATTCAAGAGGGGGGCATTAAATTATACATATAATTATATCATTTATATATGTTTATATATGTTATTACATCATTATTACATCTGCTGTTATATCAGTATGGAACAGAATCTCTGAGGAATCTTTCTAGCACCTTGTTGAATCTATGCCCAGAGGAAGATTCCCACCACTTCTTCCTTTCTTGTCCGCTTGTCCAATTTTCTCAGATTTTTTTAAGGACAAACTGCGCCCAATGCAAGTTTTCTGCTTGAATATCATTGTGAAAAATCCTTTTTTTTTTATGTCTGTCTAACTGTATTATCTGTGATATTTTATGTAGAGTCAGGCAAAGAAATGGGAACAAACATGCCTGACAGGCATGACATACTTAAAGAAAAATAATTGTATTCACATCTTTACTAATACGTGAATACAAAACTGGTTCAACCCATGAGTTTGTTATGCTTGCATGATTCATAGGTCAGTGCAAAGTGCCAAGAGAAACAAAACAAAACAAAAAATCCTCTGAAAATGGTCTGAAAATAAATTAAAAGGCAGCCAATGTCCAAAGAAAAACTTGACTTGCTGTTTATTTAAATATGATATATTAAGGTGCAAGCTTTCCTTACCTGAATACACTGTGTATCAACTGGGTAAAGTACAATCACAACCATCTTCAGGTGCTTGGGGCGTCTCATTTTGCTAAATTCTAAGATTGTATCCAACATCAAAGAAGCTACGACAGCTGTTGGGAAACACAGGTCTCCAGTGCTAATTGCAGGCAAGGATATGGAGGTTAGATTATTATTCTCTGCCATGTCCAAACAATCCAAAAAGAGTCCTTGCAAACACTGTAAGGCAACAAATAAATACTATTTAATAATATTAAAGATAATGACATTTAGTTTCAGGAATATGCATATGTCATCAATTTTAGACTGTGATGATTATTAAAAATGTATTATATATGATGAAATACATTACCTCTTCAGATGTGCCTTGTCCATTATCCCAGTAAGGTGCAATTAAGTGAAAAACTTTTTTGCTGTTTAGTTGGCAGCCCTCAGTAATAATGATCTCACCAACATTTCCAGCAGCACCCTGTGCATTTATTGACTGCTGAAGTTTGGGTCCAGCTGCACGCAAGATGGCTTTTGAAACTTCACCACTGTTCAGGTTGAGGTTTGGAGGCACACTGTTCACAATCACCTCTGTCTAAAAAGTTATGAAAGTGATCAGTCGTCAGTTCAGCAGTGCAAATAACTATTATAAACAAGAAAACAAAAAATAATAATAAAAGAAGACACAGTGAACCCCTTTACTAAAAAGATAATTTATAATAATAATTTATACAATTTAAATAATTATTATATAATAATTTATATAATAATTTAAAGCTTGATAGGGTGAGTAGTCAATGCTACATACATACTCTTGCAGTCTGTCATCTTGTGGTAAGAAAAGTTCTGTCTTAAGAGAACTATCTAATCTGAATTAAGTATAATAAAAATCCAAATTACCATGGCAGCCTCTATATTTCCCTTTGTAAGAACAATGTCCAGGCCTTCATTTGTCTGCACATGATACAAGTACAGGTCCAATCCAGTAGGCTGAAAAACTGGTGGCTTGTGAGCTTTGGGAGGAGGAGTTTGTTGAGAATGAGTGACACCGTGGTTTCCAAACTCCTGCCTGACAGCAGCCACTATATCCTGAACAGCAGTGTCATCATTGTCTTGTCCACCACCTGGCTTATTAACTAGTTGAACCAGGCAACCAGTTTTAGTTTTGATTGAGGAAACATACAGTGTTTCATTCTCCTGGAAGAGCTTCTTCACTCCAGACTTGTAAACATTCAGACTGTCAAAGACTACAGCAGAGACGGCACCTTCAACCACAGTCTTGCAATGTGTCACATTCACTCTGGATCCACTCAGACAGATGGCCTCATTTCTGTAGGACACTCTCACCTTGTCTTTCACTTTCTCCATCCAAGATGTGTTAAAACCTTCCAAGTATTCAACGACAGCATTAGCTTTGACCACAACAGTTTCTTCTATGTGAGCGTTCTGTGTTAAGAAGTCACCAAGCTGATGCTGAACCTTTATGGCACTATCCTTGTAGCCTGACACCACGACTTGTTGAGCAGTTGTGTTGATTCGAGTTCTGCATGGCTTACTGTTAGCCTGCTCCAAGTGACTGACCAGCTGCTGCCACTCTGGCTTCTTCAGGACATTACTGTCTTCAACATTAATGTACTGAGATGTTAACAGCTGTCCTAGATGGTCCTGAGCATGAGACAGATCTGTGTCAGAAACAGCAAGGAGCTGCACCCTGTTTCCACTGATTTCAAACGCTGCGTTTATTCGATGAGATGTGAGGAGAGCATCTGTAAGCTCCTCTTGTTGCTCATCCTTCAACAGTTCAAGCACATATTTATCTACTTCCAGATTCTGTCGTTTTACTGTAAGTACTGCATCTAATATAACATTGATTGCTGCATTAATCTCTTCCCCTAAACCAGTTATTTTCAGATTAGGACTCTCTGGTGACAACTTGACCTCTGGATACACAAGTAGAAGGTTGTCCAAAAGCCCATTTTGATGCAGGAGATGGAAAACTGATGGTGACACTTCGATCTCTACAGTTTTACTTGTTTTCTCCCTGTGGATTTTGTTTATAATTTCAGAAAGAGATTTCTCCAGTCTGTCGACATCACTAACAGGACCAGCCACTGATAAAGCACCACTGTCTTTACCAGGTACTACAATCACATTTTCATTCAGTAACATCTCTCTGATCTTTTCCTCAGACTCTTTCCATGCATCTGAATCTGGACAGAACTTCACAGATTTGAACTTTGACACAGATTTTTTAAACACTAACTTCACAGTATCAGTCCACTCTTTGATGATGGCTTTGGCATCCTTTTGCTTTAGTAAAGAAGATACAGGACTCAAGGTCACAGTGGTTTGGCCGAGGTTTACGATGCAGAAGTGTTTGTCCATTTCACTGCAAATGGTCTCTGCTGCTGATTTATTTTGAGCTAGGTATCTGAGGACAGCACTGTCAATGGGCTCTGAGATGGCAGCGGGAAGTTTTATTGACGCCTTGCCCTTAAATGACCTTCTTAAACTTTTTAAAACAGAAAACCGATTAACTCTGGCCTCGTCATTCTTTATGGAATTCTTCGTCTTTATGTTTTTAACAGCTGTAATGAAAAAAATACAAACATGTAAAACAATTTAGATATGTAAGACCTTTTGTTTCTATTTACCCAGCTCAACAGCATGCATCAGCTATCACTAACAATTGCAATGTCAAGCCACAATTTCTGTGAAACGATGACAACATACTCTAACCTGATAAAACAGAGGGGTTAGACAAATGAATAGAACTGACAAATTCATATTTTAGACAAAAGTTCGTATTTGAGTTGAGGAGTGATTCCTCGATTCAAAATTACAGCAGGAAAATGTTTCATGTACCCAGACATGCTTAATCAGAGAAAAAAAACACCTTAAATACCAGTTAGAGATTTGTAGAAGTTTTTGACAAACACATGGTTGTAAAAAAATATTATGTAGAAACTAAATACCTTCATTACATATATAGCATGCATGGCATAAGACTGAGGTGTTGTTTTTATTCAGTACTTACATTTCGTGTTGTCTTTATCCAATGGGAATTCCTGTGTGGAACAAAAAATATATAAATGTATTCACCATTTTTTTATTATACTGAAATCTTGTGTGACCAGACTATAAATAGCTGTTGGTCTTTAAAGAAATATAATGGAAAAAATATTTAATTGTACTTAATTTGTGTAAAGCAGAATAAAACAAAAGACACAGTAATGGGTTTTTTTGTTTGCAATATTCCTATAGCAGAAAGAGAGAACAGCTTTGAGTTCACGGTAAGTCATGTGACCTTTAGAACCGGATAAACAGCTCAAAACCGAGACACAGATCGTTGTTTACTATAAACTAATCCTAAGTTCGAAGTCTGGGGAGGAGGTTCAACAACTTCCACCCACAAATAGTGTAACATTACTATATTTTACTTTAGCATATTTATATTGGCAAGGGCATACAAAACTATTCTTGGTATGCAGATCTCCCTTGACTACACCGGCCTATCATAAATAATACCTGTGATGATTTCGCTTCAGTGGATAAATGAACCGTCAGCTTCAAAACGCCCTTTTCCAAGCTGATCTGATGAGACTCTTTCGCCAGAACATTCCTCTGATCTGTGACACGAGAGAGAGAAAAAATCTGCAGTAAAGAACTCCACTGATAATACGGCGTAGAAGCTATTATTAGTAGTAGTATTATTTTCAGTTTACTTCATGGAGCCAAACTTACCCTCCTCTCTCGTGAAGTGCAGTTTCGCTGTCCTGCTGCCATTTTCATACTCAATCTCACAGTCGCCACCGACAGTACGAAAGTACTGCAGTAACTTTGTTTCTAAATTGGGTATGTTGGTTTCTTCGAATCCAACAAGCAGAGGATACGAGTGTGCCTCGGCCATCGTTAGAGGCCGGGAAGACGCACAAAGAAGAATAAAGTCTTTCACTTTCTGCTTCACTTGGTAGACTGCATGTAGGACTGGTTCCTCCCATGGTGGAAACTAAAAAAAAACAAACTCTGCGAGTATCAGTGTTAGACAGGTTGAAATGCATTTAACAAACAAACAAAACGATTTTAATGTTTAACATACTGTTTATATTGGCGGTATTATTAGAAAAATTAACTTGCCCATTTATGAAAAAAAAAAAAACAACAAACAAAACTTTGACTAGACAGACGAGCAAATTTCTCAAAATGTTGGGAAAAAACTGAAAAGAAAAGAAAAAAAAATAAACATTTGAGAAAAACACATTGCAGATTCAAGATGCAGCATGTTTACGAGGAAAAACTGAAATCATCAACAACGACTGCAAAAAATATGCAACAAATATGCTTCCACAACCTGAAGACAATGTGATTGGAGTGTTGCTGCTGCCTTCCGTTGTCTAGTATTGACATAATTTTAAAATTGGAAATTTAAAGCTTGTTTGTTTACTGTACATTTTATACATATCTCCGTACAATGTTTTTCAAATTTTCTATACATATATTGTACATTGTTACCTGGATATACCTGTATGTTTATAGGACCACCCACCTTTTATATTTTATTTTCCCTTGCTGTAAGAGCTCTGTAACACCGAAATTTCTCATCCGTGAGATAATAAAGGTTTATTCTATTCTAAATGTGCCCTTTTTATTAGCTATTCCACTAAAAGACAAACGTTTATTTTTTTTCCTTTTTCCAAGAGAAGTTCAAAATATGCACAGTTAACATAATCGGTTTAAATCCATTTGTCACTTCATGAGTCTTTCATACAACAAAGTTCATTAAAACAAAGCTGTCATCATAAAGGGTCGGATTTATTAACGAATGGGCTTCTTCTGGTGTCAAAAAGGAACTGTAGGCACCTGTAATATTTTGGATATTTATAATTAAACTATTTGTATATATTAGAGCTATTTCTTATATTTTTTGACTTTGTAACATATTGTATTATTTAATTTATTAGCAGAGATTAATTTAAATCTGATGATGCTTAGATTAATTCACTGAATTCCACCCTTATACCAGCTGTATACTGTCTGGTATAAACACAGTATATACTGTCAGTGTAGGGCATATGCCAACATCCTGTGGAATTCACTTGTATAAATAAATAAGTCAGCTGATCATAACCTGTACATTAAGAAAATCTACTGAAGCTCACATTAGAAGTTATTGTGAGCTGTGATTCTTTGTGCTGACACCCAGAAGGCAAATGCAACAGTGAAAATGAATTTACAACCCAATAAAGTTTGTGGCAACATTTTAACTGAATGTGGCCATTGGCAGGTAAGTTCCAATAAGTCAGTGTTTCTGTCTATACCATAATTCATCCAGTTCATCCAGAATCTCAAATATTAACAAAATAAAACAAAGTAAATCAGCTCCTTGGCTGGCAGCTATTAATTAGGTTAAAATAAGCTATAATCTTATAAATATTATCTAGCCAACATTAGCTTTCATTTGTTATTTAGAGAACATAAACACATAACACTTTTTAATTCATGCTTGAAGTCACATTACTGACCATCGATTACCAGAAGAAAATTGCACTTTTGCTTGTTTAAGCCAAATTTCTAATCTGCACCACAGATTCACTTGTGCTGTGGAACCATGCAGATGCTCTTGTGTGAATGATCTGTAACACCATGACATCAAGAACACACAACATTTAAACCTGTTTTTACTCTAAAGTTTACCCTCTCTGATAGAAAAGTTGGCAAAATTTAACATTAGAAGACAAAGTCAGGAAACAATAATAAAAATAATAGTTATTTTAGGGGAGCTATGAGGAAATTTAGGGGTGATTGAGCATCCAAAAAATGGTCTAAATTTATCAGTGACTCAAAAGAACAAAATTTAAAATTAAAACCTGAAAACAAAAAAGCAAATGAATTGACAAAATATAATTATTTTATAAATTAGTTTTGTTTTTATTCACTCCGTATTCACTGTTTCCCCTGCCCCCCACCCCCACATGTATTCTCATGTTTCTATCGACTTTCATTTCTCTTATCTCTAAAACATAGCTCGAGCCCTACAGGGTCACTTCCACCTGCTCACTATAGATAACAATGGCATTTGCGATCATCGTGATACATGATGGAGCCATAGTCAACTTTCAGTCTGTCCTTCAGAAATTGCAAACAATAAGGAGCTCAGAGCCTAATGTAATCCCACCCCCACCTTAAACCTGTCACACCTACCACACCTCTCCACTATCTTGCTGTCCTCATGCATATCCTGCCTCATTCTCACATGCAGTACCTCAGTTACTCTCTAGGCACCCTATTGTTTGTTTTTTGTTTGTTTGTTTTTATGCTTTTTTTTCACATCCACATAGAGACAAAGGAACTCTTTCTGACTTTCTCAATATTTCTCCATCCGCACTTTCACAGTAAACATCACATCTGTAGTGCTTATTGTCAGCATGAAGTCATACTGCTGCTAAAATAAACATAAAATCATTAAATGGCTGTTGACAATATCTCCAGTCACGTCTAAACATAGAATACAGTCTATCAGAGCAAGAAGGATGAGCCACAACCGAGGAGCTGGAGGTATCTGGGAGCTCCAAATTGTTTGCTTAATATATTAATCTCATGCACATCTTTCTGAATTTGGGCACAGAAGCCAAAGGAGAAAAGGGATGTTTCAGGAAGAGGGTGAAAACCAGTAAACCCTCTATTTAATAATGGATTGGATTTATATAGCGCTTTTCAAGGCACCCAAAGCGCTTTACAATGCCACTATTCATTCACTCTCACATTCACACACTGGTGGAGGCAGCTACAGTTGTAGCCACAGCTGCCCTGGGGCAGACTGACAGAAGCGAGGCTGCCATATCGCGCCATCAGCCCCTCTGGCCAACACCAGTAGGCGGTAGGGTAAAGTGTCTTGCCCAAGGACACAACGACCAGGACAGAGAGCCTGGGGATCGAACCGGCGACCTTCCGGTTACAGATGCGCTTCCCAAACTCCTGCGCCACAGTTGCCCCCAAAGGATTTTTTGAACTCTGAATTATGAAAAGCCACTCGAGTACAGTCCAGGAATAAAAATATGGAGCTATACGTAATATCAAGTTATGATTTATAATCTCCCTTGTTGGCTGCATCACTTAAATGTAATCAAATACTCAGGATAAGCCTGAGTGGCATGGAAGACAACAAACATGGTGGGATTGGGGGTTTTGTCCACAACACTGTCGTACAGATCAGTGGAGGTTGTCCAAGTAGGAGTCCCCAGCCAGAACTCGGCAGACGTACATAAACTTCTCTCCATTTGGATTTGGCTTGCAGTAGCTGTCACAAGCAGAGTAGCTAGCATTGACAGCAAAATATGTGCCATTGCCATAAAATTGACAACCATGTCAATAATTTTCTGGTGATCTGCATCAGAGAAACTTTTTTTGCAGTTATATATGTCCCCGCTAAGTTACCTGGTGAAACAGAAGAAAATAGCATATTTGGATGATTTTCAGCAGTGGCAAGAACATAATCATCCTTTATGGAAATATCCAGAATTAATCTAGAAAAGATTGCAATTGCAAAATCAGAATACTTTATTAATCCTGAAGGAAATACAGTTCTCTTAAATTTTAGACATAAACCAACAAATGAATTCTTGAGCCAATCCTTATTTCTCTCCTTCTTCCCTTGGGGGTGATTTTTTTTTTTTTTAAAACACTTGCTGGTGTCACAATGTGCCTCAGTGGTCAACAACAGCACAACAGAACTCACTCATGGTACAGCACACTCTCTACAAAACAACTGTCAGTGACTCTGCCCCACAGCGTAAACACAACATTCAAGATAACAGTTAAAAGTAACATAACCATAAACAATAAAACAAGAACATCTAAAGAGCAGCACATGTCCCAAGGCATGATGGGAGAGAACTAGCTGCTCCCCCAACACGCCACAGTATGAATGGACTTATTAGTATTTTTTTTTTTAATTCAATGAAAGCAAGACTGAGGTTATTGTTTTCAGAACTAGTGGTGCGTGTGCTGCTCTTCTCTTGGACCGGGGGACTCTACAGCCCTGCGTTAAACCAACAGTGACTAACCTCCGTGTCAGTTAATCCAAAATGCTGTGGCTAGTCTTTTAACCAGGGCCAGATCCCTCCACTGGTTCCCTGTTTGTTTTAGGATCCATTTTAAGATTTCATTTCTTTTATAAACATTTAATGGATCAAGAAAACCATAAATATCTGAGCTAAGGTCTATTGATCAGCTGCTTCTAGCTGAAATCCAGGGGCCAAATGTGGAAAGATCTTCCTGCCCATGGTAGGATGGCCTCCTCACACCCGTTTTTAAACCACATCTTAATACTCATTTTTATTCCTTGGCTTTTAACTCAGAATGAGTGTGATACAATCTGATGTGATGTTATTATTGTTGTTGACATGTTTATATTGTTATATCTGTTGTGTGCTGCTGCTTTTTACAGTACTCTGTTAAACTTGGAAGTGGCATGGAAGAAACAGTTAGTGTCACTCACCACCGGAGTTTGCTCAGAAACTTTAGGGCGACGGCGGCGTGAGCGCCGTTTTCGCCGAGAGGGGGGAGGAGATGAGCCGGGCCGCGAATCCTCCAGCGGACCGGGCTGAACGTCCTCCGACCCCTCACACTGGAGAGGCAGCTCCGGGCGGACGCCTACGGTGGAAACAAGGAAGTCCCGGATGTGGGGGTGCAGCGCGCCGAACAGCCACGGGAGTCCGGACACCATCCGCTGTAGAATGTAGACGGACGGCTACGACCTCCCGGTGTTCGTCTCCTGGCAGCGCCTCCCACTCCTGACAGTGGTACTCCACCGTATAGATCAAATCCTCCCGGAGCTCAGCGGAGGGGTTGTGAGTTGCTGGGTCCATGTCGTGGTCGCGTTCTTCTGTCATGGATCGCTGTGTGGCAAGCAGGAGGAGGACCCAAATGCAAAACTCACAGACACGGGGATGAACTCGAGAAACACAGCTTTAATGCTGGCACGGCAGAACACAGGAAATACAAAACTAAACTGGGGAAAAGTAAACTAACATACGCAGAGAGACACAGGGAGATCCACACAACATGAGGGAGAACGCGACACAGAACTGAGGGAGACGCAGACATAAATACACAGAGGGTTAACGAGGGAAGTGGGAGCACACGGGGAACACAGGTGACACTGATAATAATCACGGGACATGGCAGGAGTGAACACAACACTGACGGTAGAGGTGAAACAGGAAGTACAGAGGTTCAGACAGGAGGAGAGAGAGCACGGGGAGAACACCAACATAACGGGCAGGGGAGACACGGAATAAACACGAAAGGGGACGAGGGCTCATGAATACACAGAGGGGCACACAGGGGGTGAGAGTCACAAAGGGAAAGCACTCAGGGAACACCACAACAGGGCAACTCAGGAAACAGAGCCTAAACAGGGAACAAAATACAAACATACAAGAAAACTAAGAACACTGGGCCAACATGGCCCAGGACTAGGGTTACCAACCGTCCCTTAAAAAACGGAATCGTCCCGTATTTCGAAACAAAAGTACACGTCCCGTATTGAGCTAATAAGGGACGCACTTTGTCCCGTAATACAGTGAGAATCAAAAGTAGTCTATAAATGTTTATGGAATTAACGCTTTGTTTGAAAACATAATTCCCAGCCCCTCTCCTGCTTTGTGACCAATGAGCTGACAGCACACTTATGACAATTCGAGTATGACAATTCAGATTATCTCATTGGTCGAGGAAAGGTCGCTTGCGGAGAAAATACCGGAAGACAACAGATGACCACAACAACAAGCATGGCCAACAGGGAAACAAACGCCGACACTGCGGTGCACGTCTCGGATGACAGTACACCTAAAGCTGGGCAGACACTGTGCGATTTTTTTCAGTCACGTTATTCAGCTCCTGCTCAAACTGCACGATTGACTCGCAGGGATTAGAAGTTTGCAGGTCACGATGCAGAGTCTCACACACCATACAGCCCGATGCTCTGATGCGACCTGAGTGCTCACACTGTGCCAACATAACATGAAGGTTATAACAGAAAATCTGTCGCTCGCTCTCTCTGTCTTTCACTCACACAGACACACCGCCACCATCAACTTTGCTAAATTGCTAATGAAAAACATTGATCAGGCAGCTGTGATTGAGCAGCAATGTAAATCCAACTATTTTCACGGTTGTTGTGGTCGTGATAATTTTGTGATGCCACATCGAAAAGGCTCGGATGAGCTTTCCAAAGTTCTACAAGTGCCTCCATCACTTGTGTCCAGATCACACGCTGCACAGCCGTGCTGCGCCGTCTTTTTCACCGATGTTTACGTGTTTGCGCATGAGCAGTGTGAGCGGCTGTGGTGACACCCTCACGAGCGATTGATGATCGGGAGCTGGTCGTGAGGTGTTAATCGCTTCTCGTTACCCCACGTATACTACACGATGCACGATGAAGGCCAAAATCGGGCCGATCACCAAATCGGTCGCACGACTCAAAAATCGGCTCAAAATGGGCCAAAAATCGCACAGTGTAAGCCCAGCATTAGAGCAGCAATGTTTGTTCCCCTCAGAGAAAGAAAAGAAAAAAGGCTGCAAAAGTACAGGGAGGACTGGGAAAAGGAAAACACCTGGCTGGGAAAGTGCACGATAACACCTATAAAGCGCACTGCACTGTGTGCCGGCGCACTTTTTCCATAGGCATGCTTCTAGTGGTGGGCACAAGAAGAACATGAGGGGCGTGAAAGCTCGGGGAACCCTTAACCAATTTTTTATCCACCAGGCCACGGCAGAAGCAGATATGGTATGTAAACACTGGTTTGTTGTTTAAACCCTCTGGTTAAGGTTAATATGGGCATGTGCAGTGAATATCAGCGCTATGTGGCCAGAAGTGTGATAATATCATTTATTTTGTGTAATAAACAACTGCAAGGATGGATGATTACAACAAATAGATGAATAATACATAAAAGTAATACATAGATGAATAATGATGATGAGTTATGATGCGTAATCATGGGAACAAGCGGGTTTACAAACAGGAGCAGCTGATTAGCATTAGAAAAGCTGAAATAATACCTCAACTGAAGCCAATTGTACTAAATGCACTATATGTGCACTGTTACAAGAATGTTTTTCGTTCTATTGCCTTCTATTAATTTATATAATTTTAAGTTAAACAGGACAGAGTTCTTTTAAAGAAAGATTTACTTATATTCTCAAAAGTTAAGCATGACAGGCTTCTGTTTAAGAAAGAGACCTGTTTTACTGTGTTAATGTTGTCATTTTGAGCTAAAAATAAATGGCTAAATGATCATTTGTTTCCCATATGGTCATATCACAAAGAATATGCATCTGCTTAAATCAAATTCAAGTCAAATGGTTAAAAAATAATTTCACACACACAAAAAAAGAGCTACCACACTGGAAAGGGTGAAGACAACTGGGTTGCCCGGCCCTGGCCATGAGGTGTCCCTTATTTATTTTTCAGGGAGTTGGCAACCCTACCCAGGACCATGACAGTTATACTGTAGCATAACAGGAGGAGAGCATCTGTAAGCTCCTCTTGTTGCTCATCCTTCAACAGTTCAAGCATATTTTTTATCTATTTCCAGATTCTGTCATTTTACTGTAAGTACTGCATCTAATATAACATTGATTGCTGCATTAATCTCTTCCCCTAAACCAGTTATTTTCAGATTAGGACTCTCCGGTGATATTTTGAGCTCTGGAGACACACACACATATATACGTCTTGTGCTACTGCTGTTTTGTTAAAAGTAAAATGTTTTCTGAAGCGGCTAGTCTTTGGGAGTAAAAATTCATGCTTGATAATGACATTACATTCCTGTGTACTGTGGAAGAATTAATACGATTCCGTACTGCTTACAGAAAATGTCTTCAAATTCAATTTTACTGCTCAAAAAAATCACATTGATCAATAGATCACACTATGTAATCAATTTACACAAACCTTAGGAATTGGATAAAAGAGAGAGATTGAATATTTATTACTTCTGACTGGAGGAAACAAAACTTTAATCAGCATCTCTGTTAGTAGTCACACTTCTGTTTTTCAGGTTCAAAACAAAAAACATACACATTGAAAAGATCAAATGTAGAAAGACATCTGGAACAGATGCTATTTGGAAAACTGAAAAAACTAAAAATTCAAAATCATAGCTTACCTTCAAGAGGAAAAAAATAGAGACAACATCAAGCATACATAAGCCACTTTAAATTTGTTATACTTTAAACATTCAGAACAATTGTTGTGCTTGATCATTTCTGCAGGTTTGTTTATGTGAGCAGCAACTAATTTCTTTTAAACTTTTCCTTTCAAAGTGATTCTTAATCTGAGCTTTACCTGCATTAACATGTAAACCTTTGTTACAAAGTGCATTACAAATTTTGTTTTGTAATGCTTTCATATTTTTTTCCATTCACTGATTAATGCTTGTATAATAGTTGGTTAAATCAAGCTGATGCTGATGTTCTTACATGTTTTTTAATGTACTGGAAATTAAAATCTTTCATCTAATGTAATCATTTTGAACTGTGACTCGAGGAGAGTCCAAGAATAAAAATATGGAGTAACGTAATCACCTTATATGTAATGACGTAAGGTGATCTCTAGTTAAGATTTGCAATCTTGTTCACTAGCTGCATCACTTGAATTTAATTAAATATTCAGGATAAGCTTGGATATCATGGAAGACAACAAACATGCTGGGATTGGCCATGTTGTCCACAACACTGTCGTACAGGTCAGTGGAAATGGTGCTGGTGCCTTTTGCTGGTGGTACAATCATGCCTTGTTGTCCAAGAGCAAAGTCCCCAGTCAGAACTCGGCAGACGTACATGAACTTCTCCCCGTTCTGATTAGGCTTGGAGTAGGTATTGCTGGCAGAGTAACTTGCATTGACAGCAAAGTAAGTTCCATTGCCGTAGCATGCAGCTGAAAATAGAAGAGAAAGCCAATGAAAAACATGTTTTCTGTTATTATTATTATTTTATTATTATTATTATTGTTCTACCAGTAGCAGTAGTAGATATTCTCAAAGACTAAAATTTGAACATATGGCATTGGTATGAAGCATCAGAGAAACTTCTGTAAATCAAAGTTTCTTTTGAAAGTGTTTATAACCTGCAACTCTTAAGAGCATTATGACCAAACAGGCATGTAACATTAAATTCATGTTTCCAGTAGAGACCAAAAAAACAGTTATTTATTATTAATTAGTCTTCTGGGACCTCCTGGAGATAAATTCTTTTAGTAGTTGTTTTTGGTTTTTTTTTTAGCTTACTGCTATCTCCTTAATCTAAATATATCTTTATGGGCAGTATCTCCACCATTTCCCACCTTGTCTCTATTATGAGCTCTCTAACAAAATCAAAATAAATGCCCACAAACGTCTCACCATTCTTTCCAGCGAAGCTCCTGTTGAAGCCACGGTCATTAATGGTAGCCACAGTGTCCTCGGAGGTGCCATGGAAAAGACGTCTCTCGTTGTTCTGGTGACCATTTCTCACCTCCATGTCACGCTTCTTAACCTGTAGACTGCTCCACAATGTAGGGTTCTGGATCCTCTCAATCTAAGAGCAAGAAAAGAAACAATTTACATAACATCGTCACAATGTGTCAAATCTACTAACACTTTACTGGCAACTTTTACATTTTCAATGAACATTTTAATGTCGTTTATTGAGATATAAATTGTGTCACCTGCTGCATTGTAAATTTACTTAATCCTGAAAAAACACTTTAATCTCGTAATCTGACTTGGCTAATGCTAATGTGATAAAACAATAGACAATGTGATTGATGCTACCTTGATAATGGTTTGTTTGCACGAGGCCTGGAACAGCTTCTGGATTTCATCATACTCCTGTATCCCAGCTTGTAATGGGAAAGCCTGATTGGTGGCGTTAGGTTTCATTTGTTCCCAGTTTTCAGGAACATCACCTAGTAACAAATTAATTAAAAAAACAAAACAAAATAAAATTGTATAGCTTTTGGGGAGATATTTCAGCTTTCAGTAGTGAAAACTCTGAGAGACCTACCAGTAGGCGAAATCATGCAAGATTTCAAATGCTAACACACTGCTGATCTCTTATTACTACTTTGAGAGGACTAAATCTCTTGGTTTTATTAAAATACCTTTTAGCTTGTCAATTCTCTTTATCTCCAGGATATTTCCCTGGCTGTCAGTTGCAGGTCCTTTTGGCATGGTGACAGTGTAATCTTGACCCTTGACTGTAACTTTTACAGTTTGTAAATTTTGTTGCAGTGCTTCCTCGAGGTAGAAGTTGGTCATTTCATCAAAACTCTGAAACTGGAACCCAGACTGCTGATACTGCCAGTCTGCCGCAGCGCTGGCCAGCTCCACTTTCCTGTTTAGTTCCTCCTCGTCTCTCACCCTGCTCATCATTTTAATGATTTCAGTGTTAGCTTTGAGCACATCCCTGCTGAGTCCTTCAATAGTGATTGTGGCTTTTGGCTTGTTGCTTTCAGTCCTTATGCTGATGTCCATGGTCTTCTGCATGTCAACAATTTTCTGTCGATCTGCATCAGAGAAACAAAGGATGGCATTGTCTCCAATTTCCATGCTGTGATATTCTTGGGATATCTTGTCATTTATCCATTTCTTTGCAGAGTCAACACTGGTTTGTGTGTCACCGCAAATGTGGAAACAAGTAGCCTCCACTTTCAGACTGTCAATGACAAAATCTTTGTCATTCTTTGGTTTGTCAGCACTTCCACCAGTAAAGATTGCTGAAATAACAAATTTCAAAAACAACATAAGAACTTAACATTTGAAACTGATTAGAGATATGTGATTTGAGAATGTGAAACCAAAAGCTCTTTGTTCTGTGTATTTACATTTGAATTTGCTCCATCCCCAGGTCCACCCTCCTTTATCCTTAGAATCGGGATCAGCAGCTTCCCTCTGTTGCATACTGCTGTGGAAGTCTTTAAGCATAGGTTTCTGGAAAATAACTATGCGAACTGTAGTCAGGGGGCTGGCAGTGTTTTGGCTCAACACATCAGTCACTGCATCCAGCATGGCATCAGCCACCAGTCTTGCCTGTGCATTGCCTTGACCTAAAAAAAAAAAAGGGACAACACACATTGAAGACTGCTGGGGCGAGCCACATCGACAGATGACACCATTAAAACACTATTATCACTGTTCCTGGCTCTAAAATTTCTCCATAAACCTTCTTTGAACTTGATGTTAAATTTGTTCTGTGATAAGGAAATTTGATGTATCTCTCAATGCACATCTTTCTAAATGCAAACTGACTGCAAATTAAATCCAAAGAATCTAATAAAAGTATTTTAAATTGTATTTAAATACACAACGCCTCCTTCTAATGCAAATATGTCAATAGAGAAAGAGTATAACATGTCATACATTTGAGGAAACAGTTCACCCCAAGATAACAAAATGCCTTTAGTTGGCTGAAAACAGAGGATTATTCATCAGCCTGTGTTTATCAGTTAGAAAGCTTCAGTAGGAAGTTAGGAGGCTTTTATAATCATAGCATTCATCACAACTTCCTGAATTACATCATTCCAGTACAGCACAAGCCTGTCAACATATTTTAGCTTAACCTACAAAAAATATCATGGCCTAAAACTGACATTTACATATGTGACCTGTCAGTGACAAAATGCTTTCTAAACCTCACCTGTGCCGATGGCAGGAAACGATACAGAGGTGAAAGAGCTTTTCACACATAACTGGAGTGCATCTTTCACAGTCTTGTTGATTTTTACTGGGTCTGTCTGTCCAGCCAGGTGGAGGATCTTTTTACACTTCAGGTTACCGGGGCTCGTCAATACCATGCCTGGGTTGGGCTCAGCACCTAAAGGTGAAGGTAACGTATGTTTGATTGATTGATTGATTGAATCTTTATTTTGAACATGTTGAAAAAGTATAAAAAAAATAGAATTAAAAGAGACAAATGAACAAAGCAAACAAAAGGAAAACGAGCAACCACAACTCCAAATAACGTCCATGTTCAAAAAGGAGCAGGAAGAAGCATAAGCTTATTTAATCCCACCCCTTTTCCACTATCTAGTATCAATAGACTACAGAAATACCTCCTTGCAATTACATTAAATGTTATGTGTAATTTTTTTTTTTTTTTTTTTTTTTTTTTAAATATATACACATATATGTTTCTATCTATCCATACATACGTATATACACACATACGCACATATACACATTTTCAATAACCCCATTAACACCTCAAGGATACACAGCCTACAATTATATATATATATATATATATATATATATATATATATATATATATATATATATATATATATATATACCCATACCAACAAACCCGTGCATGCGCACACACATGAAAATATTAGACAAGAACACCCTATCAAATCTCTACCATTTCCCTGTACCCTGTAAAAACCATATCCTTAAACCGCTTTTTAAACTGCGCCATGCTTGGACATTGCTTCATATCTTTACTTAGTCTGTTCCACAGCTTCACTCCACACACAGAGATGCAAAAACTTTTTAATGTTGTACGGATACGAGGATGTTTTAAATTTAATTCCCCCCTCAAATTGTATCCCCGTTCCCTTTTAGAAAACATTTTTAAAATATTGTCAGGAAGCAGGTTATTTATTGCTTTATATATAATTTGTGCTGTGAGAAAATGAACCAGATCTGTGAATTTTAGAATTTTTGATTTTAAGAATAGTGGATTTGTATGATCTCTGTAACCAGTTTTATGGATTATCCTTATGGCCCTTTTTTGTAATATAAAGATTGATGATAGCGAACATTTGTAAGTATTGCCCCAAACCTCTGCACAGTAATTCAAATACGGTGCAATCAGGGAACAATAGAGAATGTGGAGTGATTTGTGGTCCAGAATGTGTTTTACTTTACTCAAGATTGAGACACTTCTTGAAATTTTGTTATGTATATGATTTATATGAGACTTCCAGTTTAATTTATCATCTATAATCACACCAAGAAACTTATGTTCAAGTACTCTTTCAATTTCCACACCATCTACATGAATCTGCACTTGTGCATTTCTAAGGGAATTCCCAAATAAGATTATTTTAGTTTTACTTAGATTTAGCGATAGTTTGTTCCTGTTAAACCATTTTTTAATTTTGCACATTTCTGAAGTAATTGTATCCAGCAGCTCCTTTAGATTCCCCCCAGAACAAAAAATATTTGTGTCATCTGCAAATAATACTAATTTTAATATATCAGATGCCTTACAAATATCATTTATATAAATAATAAATAATTTTGGACCCAGTACAGAGCCTTGTGGAACACCACAAGCAATGTCCAAGCATGATGAGGAATGGACACCCAGCTTCACAAATTGTTTCCGGTCACTTAAATAATTTTTCACCCATTGCAGTACAACCCCCCTGATCCCGTACCGTTCCAGTTTATTAATTAATATGTTATGATTGATTGTGTCGAATGCTTTCTTGAGATCCAGAAATACTCCAGCTGCATACTGTTTCTGATCTATAGCATTCGTAATCTCCTCAATTGATTCGATTAATGCCAGAGATGTTGATCTTTTTGATCTGAATCCATATTGACTGTCAGAGAGTAATTTATATTTATCTAAGAATTTGTCTAATCGTTTATTAAACAGGTTTTCTAGGATTTTGGAGAATTGTGGTAGTAAAGAGCCTTATTAAAAATTTCAGTGTGTACAAGGCCATACTATCTGGTGCCAACTCTGAGTTACAGCGTTATAAAAAGTTGGTGTGATTTCTTACCAAGGTTGCGACATTCCACTTCAACAGCCGGACCAGCTGCTTCTAGAATAGCTTTAGACACTCCTGGAGAAGGCAAAGGTTACATCACCATTGAATACATACTGTACATATAATCTGAAAGATACAATTACTTTGTGACCTTCTTTCTTATTTGTGTATTATTATCTAAAAATACTTTAAAGATGTGGACTATATTTACATATTATCCTCTATATTGTACCTAAATATTAATATATAAATATATATTATGTCTAATATATAATATTAAATTAAATATTATTATAATATCTTTAATATTTATATGTCAAAATAAATATTTAGAGCAGGAAAAAAATAATAACAACCGCTGTTAACGGTTTGGCACAGCTCAAGCACTGTAGTTCTTACTATGATGACTTAAGAGTAAAGTTTTTTTACCTGACTTAAGAGTAAAGTTTTCATTGGAGGAGTTGACAATGACATCAGCGGTCTCCTTGGTTATGTCTCCTGTTACTACCTGTATAGTCACATTGCCCATTTTGGTCTCATGCATGTCTGAGGTTGAGGTGATTTTAGAGAAGGGGCCTCCTGGAAATGGACGAAAATAAAGAATTATCAGCAATAAATTATTACAAAACAGAACTTCATTAATTTTGACTACTAATTTAATTGTCCATTAGGATATGGACAAATAATACAGTTTATTATTACAGTTAGTACAAATGTTTGTACTAACTGTTTTGTTACATTTCTTTGAAAACAGGCAAAAATACATCCATTTTTTGTTTAGTTTGTATTGTTTTATTTGGTAGCATTATATAGCAACTGCATATCAAACAGTGTTGCCTGCCTTTACTTTGTGTAGAACTTGGTGAACCACTTGAGGCGCTGGGAAACTTCTTCTGAAATTCATCACTGAAAGCCTGCAGACAGAAAAAAAGAAGAGCGATTACTTCAACTGAATCTCACCAATTTGACACCAAACCTGAAACTAAATAACACAACAGAACAAGTTTAATTACTACTGGAGGCTGTCTCCAAAAGTAAGCCCTATGCCCATAGAAGAAATATGTGTGTTCATTTGTGTGCTGTACTTTATCTCTGCTAACTTGAGTCAACATGGTTAATATTACTAACAGCCTTCCAAGACGTTTTGATGAGTTAAATACTAGTATTTTATTAATTAATTAATTTTTGTTACTTGTTGCCAATTATTTTTTTTAATTCAACCTTCAATTATACAAGTAGTCCCATTGAGATTTAACATGTACGATAAACATTAAAATTACAACAATAAAAAAAAACAATAGGGTAGCTAAAATTGTCTAATGACTACACAGTGATCAAAAAGTATAAAAATCTCTGAGATAAAATATCAGAGTATATGGATGCAGTATGCCAGGTTTTCTGGCATTAGATGATAATATTGTCCCCATATGGTCACTTCTACCCCCAGCAAAAGAAGATTACAATGGAAACAAAAGAAAAATAGATTTTACTGGTTAAAAATGCTGATGGTTAATTGACCTAAAAGATTTCTGGTTAGCACTGAGAATGTGTTGCTTCAAAGCTTGTTATTTTTTCTTACCTGGATAGTTTGTGTATCACTGGGGTAAAGTACAATCACGACCTTCTTCAGATGCTTGGGGTGTTTCTTTTTGCTAAACTCTAAGATTTTATCCAACAACAAAGAGGCTACAAGATCTTTTGGGAAACCCAGGTTTCCAGCACCAATGGCTGATAAGGATATGGAGGTTAGATTATTATCCTCTGCCATGTTCAAGCAGTCCTTAAAGATTCCTCTCAAAGTCTGTAAGACAGTTATATATACAACAACAACATGAAAGTTGGATCAGACAGGCTTTTTAACCTCGAAGCTTAAACGTTTACCTTATAATGTCAGGTACTTCACCTTTTCAGATGTGGCTTGATCCTTATAGTGAGGTGCGACTGCATGAAAGACTTTTTTGCTTTTTAGTTGGCAGCCATCAGTAATAATGATCTCACCAACATTTCCAGTAGCACCCTGCGCATCTACTAACTGCTGAAGTTTGGGTCCGGCTGCGCGCAAGATGGCTTGTGAGACTGCACCTCTGTTGAGGTCAAGGTCTGAAGACACAGTGTTCACAATCACCTCCGTCTAAAAATGGTTAGCAGACTGTTAGTACATATTTATCATGTACTACCCCCCCTCCAGATTAACCCCTGAAATTTATTCAACATAAAGACACTTTATAGCAACATGTTAATAGTTAATGCATGCAGTCGTTGGTTCCTGTACTGGACAATTTGCCTCTTAATTTATTTATTATTCACTTTAATTAGATATAAACAGCCAAAATCTGAATTACCGTGGAAGCTTCTAGGTTTCCCTTTGTAAGAACGATGTCCACGCCTTCTTTGGTCTGCACACGATTCAGACACAGGTCAGATCCAGTAGACTGTGATACTGATTGTGTGGGAGCAGTGAGATGAGGAGTTTGTTGAAAATGAGAGTCACTGAGGTTTCCAAACTCCTGCCTGACAGCAGCCACCATATCCTGAACAGCAATGTCGTCATTGTTCACGAAATGGATCTTCTGCAAGGTAATGTCATCATAGTTCTCATAACAGTACTCCTTCACTGCTTTAACAATGGTGAGTTCACACTGCTTGAGGGGAAAGCAGCGCATTCCTCTGCCAATAGATGGAAGAGCTACTGAGACGCATCCGTGGGCCTCAGCAAATTCTAAGCTTCCTTTAACAACTTTGTTCAACTGAGCTGAAGCTTGCTGTGGTTTTTCATACTTGGGTGCCACAGCATGGATGACCTTTTGGCAACAAAGTGTTCCTCCTGCATCAGTTATGACACAGTCTCCTGGCTTGAGTTGACCCTTTGTTTTTTTCATTTTGTAAAATTCATCTTGTAACTGAGGGCCGGCAGCCTTCAAAAGTGCTGCTGCAAGACCAGTACTGTGTTTCAAGTCTTGATTAAATGGACTAACAACTGCCTGCACTGGGTAAGTGCACATATCTGCCTTGTAAACAGCAATTTCTACTCCTCCAGGCATCTTAAGTTGGTATAAAGGTGTTGGTACTTGTTTAACGTTGTCTTGTCCACCACCTGGCTTATTAACTAGTTGAACCAGGCAACCAGTTTTAGTTTTGATTGTGGAAAAATAAGCTTCATTTTCCTGGAAGAGCTTCTTCACTCCAGACTTGTAAACATTCAGACTGTCAAAGACTACAGCAGAGACGGCACCTTCAACCACAGTCTTGCAATGTGTCACATTCACTCTGGATCCACTCAGACAGATGGCCTCATTTCTGTAAGACACTCTCACCTTGTCTTTCACTTTCTCCATCCAAGATGTGTTAAAACCTTCCAAGTATTTAACGACAGCATTAGCTTTGACCACAACAGTTTCTTCTATGTGAGCGTTCTGTGTTAAGAAGTCACCAAGCTGATGCTGAACCTTTATGGCACTATCCTTGTAGCCTGACACCACGACTTGTTGAGCAGTTGTGTTGATTCGAGTTCTGCATGGCTTACTGTTAGCCTGCTCTAAGTGACTGACCAGCTGCTGCCACTCTGGCTTCTTCAGGACATTACTGTCTTCAACATTAATGTACTGAGTTGTTAACAGCTGTCCTAGATGGTCCTGAGCATGAGACAGATCTGTGTCAGAAACAGCAAGGAGCTGCACCCTGTTTCCACTGATTTCAAACGCTGCGTTTATTTGATGAGATGTGAGGAGAGCACCTGTAAGCTCCTCTTGTTGCTCATCCTTCAACAGTTCAAGCACATATTTATCTACTTCCAGATTCTGTCGTTTTAATGCAAGTACTGCATCAAATATAACTTTGCTTGCTGCATTAATCTCTTCCCCCAAACCAGTTATTTTCAGATTAGGACTCTCTGGTGCCAATTTGAGTTCTGGATACACAAGTAGAAGTTTGTCCATGAGGCCATTCTGACACAGGAGATGAAAAACTGATGGTGACACTTTGATCTCTTCGGTTTTACTTGATTTGTCCCTGTGGATCGTTTTTGCAATCTTGTTAATAGTTTCAGAAAGAGATTTCTCCAGTCTGTTGACATCACTAACAGGACCAGCCACTGATAAAGCACCACTGTCTTTACCAGGTACTACAATCACATTTTCATTCAGTAACATCTCTCTGATCTTTTCCTCAGACTCTTTCCATGCATCTGAATCTGGACAGAACTTCACAGATTTGAACTTTGACACAGATTGTGCAAACGCTGACTTCACAGTATCAGTCCACTCTTTGATGATGGCTTTAGCATCCTTTTGCTTTAGTAAAGAAGACACAGGACTCAAGGTCACAGTAGTTTGGCCGAGGTTTACGATGCAGAAGTGTTTGTCCATTTCACTGCAAATGGTCTCTGCTGCTGATGTATTTTGAGCTAGGTATCTGAGGACAGCACTGTCAATGGGCTCTGAGATGGCAGCGGGAAGTTTTAGTGCAGGTTTGTCTTTGCCGTAGAGGGCCACTCCCAGAGTTTTATAAAAAGGATAAACTCTGATTTCTTCCTTTTTTATGGAATGCTTCTTCTTGAAGATTTTTTGAACAGCTGGAAAAAAGAATGTAACATACTGTATATTATTATTCACAAGTTATTACTGTAGGTTTGCAGGAACATACAGTGTAGTGTAAATAAATTACCTCGATGATCTTTAAATGTGATGACAGCAGACTGTTCCGCTTCATTAAGGAAGACCTCTTCCACATCCCCACCTTCATTTTCAAAATAAAGCTGAAGAACTTCTTCACTGAAGTGTAGAATGTCGTCAACTAGAACTTGCTTTGTGACTTCGAGAGGTTGAACAGAAAATCCCTTCTTGGTGAACATTTTGTTTTGGGGGCATTTTGCCACAAAATTAGCATTTTCTGTGAAATAGAGATTAAAAAACGGTTTAAGGCATTTTTAATAAAACAATTCTGCAGGATAAATCTTCTTTGTTGATTTAATAATGAGTACACCCATTTTTCAGAATGAAGTATCAGCACATTTATAATTAGCAAGGTACATTACACTACCAGTAGTCTGTGTTGCTTTGCTATCCTGTGCATTAGTGCGCTAGAAAACTTTGTCATTCTAACTCAGGAAAATAAAATGGCCACATTGTCCTGGAAAATTCCTTTATTACATTTGTGGCATATTTTTATGTTGTTTTATGTTAATGAGTGTTGGACCTGGTTATGCAATACAGATTTCAGCATCAAACGGCCGGTTAAACTTTATATTATCATATCATAAATAAGAACTTTTCATTCTGAAATGGGTACCTTCTCCACTCTGGAAAGTCACCACAGCAGAGGAGATGTCAGGAAAGAATTCCAAAGTGAAGTCATGAGACTTAGTGATGTTTTCCACCAGCATCTCCAAGAACTCCTGGTTGGTATTATCAAGAATATTCCCTAAAACGGCCGAGGTGGAACATGGCTCTTCATCTGCTGTATCATCGTCTCCGCCTTCTGTTTCTGTTTGAACTGTCGGGTTGCTTTTATCAGCACTCGCCTGTTTGTCTGCAGCAACATCTGCTGTTAAAGACAAATGTGGCCAAGTGTAACAAACATATACTTTTTAGATAGTGCAAGACTTAAAACACTTATATTTTAATTACTTATTTTGGTGTTTCACTCACAGCTATTGCTTCACACTAATCAATAAATTAATTAAAATAAGAATAATCATTAATATCGACTTAAAAAAATAATCCGACTTTGTATGGTCTTATTGACGTAATGTCTAGGAGACATCTAGTGTATCCTACCAGTCTTGAAGTGTAAAGCACACTATGTTAAAACAGCATGAAGCTTTGGATATTTTATTGAGAAAGAGGCAGTTTTATCACATAAAGCTTGTCAGCTTGTCTAATTTTTGATTCACAGATTCATTTTTTCTTTGTTTTGTTTTCTTCTTACTAATGCTAGCTAGACAGACAAATCACAAGCTATCTAGCAAATACAGTTCAGAAAGGGTCACAGAACCTGAGGTACTTTCCATGGTCTCACACGTATTGAATTCATCAGTTAAATACAAATATTTAACTTCAAATAATAACTCAACTAAAACAGTATAAATGAAAGGCAAGCCAAATAGGAAATGCTGGATGTGTAATACAGTACAAACACTGATTAGTTCCAAATTGTGTTTGGTGGTGGGGAGTTGCTACTCATCTGAAAAAAAAGTGAATGTCTGAGAAAACTACCTGAGACAACCTGCCTCGAGTGGATGAGATCACTTGATTAATCAGACGCCCAGGGCTGTTGTGTTAACTCAGCTTTTCCAGTGTCACAAAGTAGCACTGCTAGATTTGTGAAGTGTTAAGTTAACAACTAGCTGGAAAACAGAATGTTGTTTGTGAAAGTCATCAGTAGTAAAATCATAACCAAGTAGAAATGCTAGCTTGTGAAATTACTTTACCTACGATACTAAATGATTTCAAATGGCGTTAACTTTAGCCATCAGTAAAGCATGCAATGGCTCAAAGCAAAGATGTACAAAGTATTGCAGTAATAGCTAACATTGGCACAGTTAGCCTGCTGAGTGTAATCTAGAGATTTTCTAGTATATATTGTGGTTGTTGGTGTTTAGGTGGGCGGATCAGAATATTTCAGAAGCTCTGGGGCTTTCCCACACAGCCACCTCTAGGGTTTATAGAGAATGGTCAAAAAAGAGAAAATATGCAGTGAGCAGCAGTTCTGTGGGGCAGCAATGGCTCGGTGATCTCAGCCATCAGAGGATAATGGTCAGACGACTTGTTACAACTGAGGGATGCTGAAAAACACAACATGTCACAGACTGAAGCAGCTGGGCTGCAACAGCAGAAGACCAACACTGTTCTCCATTCCTGTCAGCTAAGAACAGAAAACTGAGGCCACAGTTCATACAGACTCACCAAAACTGGACAATAATGTCTGATTAATCTGATGATATTTGTATGTTAGGGTCAGAATTTGGGTCCAATAGGATACTAACAAGGTGTACCTAATAAAGTGGACAGTGGTGTATACTAAAAGTAGATAAACTATAGGGGTGGACAAGTGAAAGGACTTCCTGATCTTTTAGACTAGTGGTTATAAACACAGTTCTGCTCACTCAGTACTTACATTTCTTCTTATCTTTATCAGATGGAGTTTCCTGTATAAAGAAAATACAAAAAATACACGTTAGTCACATTTGTTTAGAATTATAGCGAGCGAGTGTGTGTGTGTGTGTGTGTGTGTGTGTGTGTGTGTGTGTGTGTGTGTGTGTGTGTGTGTGTGTGTGTGTGTGTCCAAAAAATAATTCATGCAAACAAATTCATTGTCAGCTTTGTCAGGAAAACCGCACCCAGTAATGCTTTCCGAGCAGTGAGTTTGACTTTTACAATATCCGCACGGCAGGAAGAGAAGCAGTGTGCAGCACAGCTTTGGCTTTATAAAGTCACATGACTTCCAGTAAAAGATCAACATGGTCAGATTTCAATGGAACTGAATGATAATTTGGAGTCTGTAGAGGGGCTCAAGGGTCACACAAAGCTGAGGAATAATTGAATATTCTCGCAGTTCCTTTTGAGAACAGGAGGGTCTGACAGAAATTAGAGGCGCGCAGGTTTCACGGCGCACTATCAACAGTGAAACCTTATCTCATAAATAGCATCGTCAATATAAGAACAGATTTGAGGTACACAGAACAGAACAGTTGTTGATAAATGATTCATGACAAACTTTTCGCACCCGTGATGATTTCTCTTCCGTGGGTAAGCGGACCGTCAGCTTCAAAACGCCTTTTTCCAAACTGATCTGATGCGACTCTTTGGCCAGAACGTTTCTCTGATCTGTGACACAACACAAACACATGTCACCACATAACTCCGTTGATAATAAGTAATATTGTAGCTGCTTAAATAAAGCAAACATGACTTTATTGTGACAAACTTACCCTCCTCTCTCCGGAAGCGCACCATCGCCGTACTGCTGCCATTTTCATACTCCACCTCACACTCGCCACCACCGTTAGATTTCTTACTTTGAAAGTATTTCACTAACTTGATTTTTAATCTGGGTATTTTGGTTTCTTCGAACTCAACGAGCAGAGGATAGGAGTGTACGCCGGCCATCTTCACAGGCCGGCTGCTGTCTGCTCTGAACTAGTTTCACTTTTGTTTCCTGTGAAACGAAACGCAGTTTTTATTGGCGTGTTGTGGCGTTTGGCCTTGAAGGGTTGGCTCAGACCGGGGTGCAGCTACAGAGAAAGGCCTGAAAAACACCTTTTTACACTTGGCTGCAGTCCACGGAGGCAGTTTGGAGACGTCCGCGCCCTCTTTTCATTCTTTCACTTTCTCCTTCACTTCGGTACTTTCCAGCTGAAAGTGTGCGACGGTGAGTATCTGGCTTCTGCGCAATAAACCTCTTAATTCGTTTAAACTAAAACTACGTTTTATCAAAGCTACACAAATGTGTGTGTCGTTCATGGATTAGGTTTCGCCAGTCACCAGCACACAGCAACTTTTGTGGACTGGTTGGTGTTATGTTGCTCGTGATGTTTTTCACTGTATAAAAATGACGCAAAAACGTCAAATGTTTGACAGTTTCTTCAATTATACTGGCCTACTTGGTAATAGTAAGTTCTGAATAAGGTTAGAGTAGGAAGCTATGTAGCTATGTAGTAGGATGTTTATACTCTGTGGGGGTTGTAGACCGGATGCGATGCACTGCACAAGTAGTGAGTGAACTGCAAAAAATAAATAAATAAACAAAAACCTGATGCCTTACTGACTCAGTTTTGCTTTCTCTATGCAATTTTACAAATGTAATAGTAAAGTTCGTTTGTACGGAGAGTCAAACGGTATTCAAGCACACTGAAAATTCTCTTCACGTTTTTGTTTCTGGAGCAGGTAAATTATTTCTGATTGGCCTAATAGTGTCTGTTGTTTGTCTCTGTCTCCCTCTGCTGCAGTGACGATATAACAGCAATTTACCGTATTTTACTAGGTAGGTCACCTGCAACCATGTAGATGTATTGTTTACCTGTGTTGAAATAGGATATTTAAGACCCCACACCTGCATGTTTTAATTTCATGAAATGACACTGGTATCATGATTAACATGTTTATGTTTCAACCATACTCAACTTGTGGCCTACGCTTTAATTCTATAATGTTCTGATTTAATTGATAATTTCTCTGCAGTTACTGTTTGATTTGATGACAGTCCCGTTAATGTTCCTTTTGGTTTGATATGAGACTGACTGATAATTTTGGGACTGATGGTGATGCCAGTACTGATATTTAGGAACTAAAAACTATTATGTCTTGATATTAGATGATATTCTTTAAATAAACACTGCCACTAAACAGTGGGTCTCACTTGTAAATATCACTGTTTTTTCAAATAAAAACATTTTTTAAACCTAATATAACATGAAAAATTACCAAATTAGAGTTAATGATGAGTATAATAATAATAATCATGAATTTCTTGATATTTACTAGAATATTTACATAACCTTTCAGAGGTCCATAGATGAGAAATGTTTAGCTAATTAAAATGTACTAGTTAGTCATTATTAATGACTCCATTGATCATTTAGTTATTTTTTTCTGTAGATCTCTTCAGGAACCATGGCTCTTAAATCACATATTCCTCTTCATGGATTTAACCTCAACATTGTGAAACAATGTGGACCTGCTCTGAGTGATATCATTGATATCAAATATCAATGTGTGGCCACCTTCGAAGGTGTGGATTTTGACAGTGATATAAGTTTTGGACAGCAGAAAAAACAGACCGTTGCACCAGAGAAGAGGTTTTCTGTCAAGCTGCCTTCAGGTGTTACAGTGTCTGTGTGGAAGGCTGATCTCACCAATTTCAAAGTGGATGCTGTTGTCAATGCTGCCAACTCTTTTCTTCAGCATGGTGCTGGCCTTGCTCAAGCCCTATGTGAAGCTGGTGGTCCTCAAATCCAAATGGAGAGTGACAATTACACTAAAAAATATGGTTCCTTACCAACAGGAGAAACAATTGTCACTAATGCTGGGTCGCTGCCATGCAAGAAGATTATTCATGCTGTAGGTCCACAACTGCCATATAACCCTGGTGGTTTTGAAGTTTCACGTGCTGAACCTCTGTTGGAGAGAGCTATCATGAACATTCTTCACAGGCTTCAGGAACATCATCTGCACACTGTTGCCATTCCTGCTATAAGCTCTGGGTTGTTTAACTACCCCTTGCCAAAATGTGCAAACACCATTGTATTAACTGTTAAAAGATACTGCGAATACCTTTCTCGAGGAAGCTCTCTTGAGGAGATCATTTTTGTGAACCACGATGAGCCAACAGTCAGAGAAATGGAGAGAGCCTGCTGTCAGTTCCTAGCTCCGAAGCAATACAACCAATATAACCAGCACATGTCAAACAGCCAGGCAACAGGAAGCAACAGCAGAAGTGCTGCCAAAACGTCGAGTGTTACCATCCTGATTGGAAATGTCAATCTGACATTGAAGAAGGATAACATTGAGGATCAGAGGGTAATAATCTGTTTTGTTACTTCCTTAATATATTATGAACTTTTACTTTTAGCTGTTTATTGTGTTCTTAATTTAATTTTTGATTTTGATGTGTATGGAGCTCCAGTGAGACATCATGTAGTAATAACATATTATGTATTCTTGTTTAAATAAATTCTTTAAAATTTGATTATTTTGTCTCCTTTTAGACTGATGTCATTGTAAATACAACATCACCAGAACGAGATTTAAGTGTGGGTAAAATCTCTTCTGCTTTGCTGAAGAAAGCCGGATTTGGAATTCAAGACGAAATCAAAAAGGCCTTTCCAACAAATCATATCTTCATCACAAAACCCTACAAGCTGGCTTGTAAAGAGGTGTTTCACACTTTTTGCAAGGAAAAGGGGAAAAGAGGATCAAGCCAGGTATATATAAGTAGAAGTGTTATGGGGGAAATGTTTACCCATTTTTGCCTTCATACAGAATACATTTGATTCTAACATGTTGGTTGGTTTTCTCAAATGAAATAGTCACTTTAGGGTTTTCCAAATCAAGACATTGTCTTTATTCTACTTTGATCATTCTATATTGGAGACCTTTTGTGTGCTGAGGGACAGTGATTTTCTCCACAAGTTACTTTCTGATACCTTCCTTGACAATTTGATTTGTAAATAAATTTAGCAAGTCCAGACCACCACACTACCACCATAATGTGAAATAAATAGGTTAAGGTTCTTATGTTGAAATACATTTTTTCCCAAAACAAACTCTAGGCTATATAAACTGGAAACATTCTTCCAACAGACTTAGTGCTCATTCACATGATTTTTGTTAAGGTGCAGGCTGCAGTGTCCTTTTAGTGGAGCAGTGGCTTTTTCCTTGTAGCCCTCTGGATACTGGATTCACTAAGATTTGACTCAAATTTGTCCTTCACAGTCAATGCTAGTCCTCAAGGTTAAAATATTTTGCCTTTCACATTTAAGTAACACTGGGTCATTGCCTTTAAAAAATAAATGACCAACACTAATATTTTTAAATATTTTTTTTACTGGTTTTCTTGATCCAACACTTCTATTAAAATTATTATCATAGGTCATGTTTATCCCCAAATACAGAAAATTCTTCAGGGTAAAAATTAACAGAAGAAGAGAAGAAACACAATGTAATACACCAAACATGTTATTATTAAAAGATTTTCCAGCTATCTCTTTTCTGTCCACTTACTAATAGGTCCTTTCCGACTCGGTATTGGGCTGCTTATGGATGGCAGCTTCAAGAAAGCACAAGTCAATTGCCTTTCCTGCAATTGGCACAGGAGCCCTCGGGTTCACTAAAGAAGAAGCAGCACAGCTCATGTGCGACGCAGTGGCCAACTTCGCCCAAAACTTTCCAGAGAAGATGGAAGTTTACTTTGTCATATTTCCTGCTGACAATGACACATTTCAGGTTGTATTTTTTTTTAATCTGTCAAGATTTTAACATATCATTATCTGTAATGTTTTCAAATAAGCATGTTTGAAATATTGATATATCTGCAAGGTGTAATGTGGTGGTGCATTTACAGTAGTCTGAAACTCTACTTGCAGGGGTTTGTTAGGCACAAGCTGAATTCATGTTTTGTGAATCGTCTCATACAAAGAAATATCTTTTTATGATCTCTTTCCAGGTTTTTAAGGACAAAATTAATTATCTCCAGCACAATGCCTCTCAATCCAACTTTACACAAGGTGAAGCACTGCAGGCCCTAAATAGAGAGTGAATAATCTGATACTGTATGTATATGCGCACATGTTGTTTAGCACTGTGTTAGCCCTGGGGCAGTTGGTAACCTATCCCTATGTATGGATAGTTGGATGTGTAGTAATAGTGATCTTGAAGTGTTTTCCTCTTTTTGTCTTCTCCATCAGAATATGACAACAAAGAAGACGCTCATTTCAAAAGAGCATCTTCTCCACAGATCAGCCTGTGTGGCCCATCTGAAGAATCAATACATGAGGCTAAAAAATGGCTCACTGACCTCTTTACATCTTCTGGCACCATTGATATTTGCAACAACTTCATCCAGCACCTCAGTGAGAAGCAATACCTGCAGCTCTCTCGTCTAACCAGAAAGGGTGTTAAGTTCGAAGAGTTTCTGACGAATGGTCACGCCTGCCTAACACTAAATGGGGATTTAGTTGAGGATGTTGTAGTTGCTGCATTACAGGTGGAGGCCATGCTCTGCACTGTCCAGATGGAGTTTGTCAAAGAGGAGGAGACAGAAATGTGCCTGTTAGCTAATGAAGCATCTCTTGAAAAAGAAAGAAAGACAAGAACAGTTGATGACTCAAGTCCAGAGTTCACAGACAGATTCTCTGCCTTCAAACATGAGGGGCTGATAATATTAAAGGTACAGTGTAAATAAGCCTGCTTTGTCATTTAGTAAATTTAATTACATTTTAAACATGACTTGTAAATGGAACTTTTATATTTTTATTCATATGTATACTATAATGATTGATGCTCAGTAAACGCAGTTATAGTTTCACACTATGAGGTCAGTGTATCTCATAGTATTCCTCAGGATTCAGGCTATGCTAACCACTCATTTTTTTTCTTGCTTTTGGCTGTATGATGTCAGTGAGTGGATATCAGGCATACATTCAATTTTTGTGGGGGCAGCCAATCAGAAGAAAGCTTTAAACTTTAAATAACAGGGGGAAGGGTTATTTCAGATATTAGATAAACTGAAGGGCTGCACCAAGATCCAGGATAAGATAAATAAGGATTATTTTGAACTAAAGTTACTCTAGTAGATTCCAAGAGTGAAAATATGGAACTGAAAATGGCAGAACAGATCCCTATACTGGCTTCCCAGAAACAGTTTCAAAATAGGGGTGGCTGTGGCTCAGGCGGTAGAGCAGGTCATCTACTGATTAGAAGGTTGGTGGTTTGATTCCTGGCTTCTCAGGCATGCCAAATATCCTTGGGCAAGATACTAACCCCAAATTGCTCTCCATTGGAGAATGTGAATAGGTGAATGCACAAGTTGTATAACTTTGAGTGCTCAGAAGAGTAGAAAAAGAACTATTCCAGTCCAATAGATGTTCTATTTCCACAAGCTGATGTGGTTTACCGTATTTTCCGCACTATAAGGCGCACTCTCAAAAATCGACAGTGCGCCTTATAATCCGGTGCGCCTTATGTATGAATTCTGGTTGTGCTTACTGACCTTGAACCGATTTTATGTGGTACACGGCGCTCAGAAATCTGTCAAAAATGTTTTAGTACAACTTTGGTAAGCCAAGAACCCGCACCGCTTAATGGATTTTCGGAGTATTACGGCTACCATAGTCAGGAGCCTTGCGGAGTAAAATGTACTGTTCTTCAACATAATATTACTGTATTGTGTGTGTAAGAGGACCCATAAATGGCACTTTTTAAGAGACATGCTTACGAAGCGGATTTCAAACTCAAGGCTGTCAGTCACGCTGTTTTGCTGGCTTGCCTTAGTTAAAACCCTAGCTTTTATTTTGTGTGCTGCCAGCTTGCCTTAGTTACCCTTTAACTTTTACTCGTGACTGTTCTTTCTTTATGTAATAATTGTCTGCCCAGTGGTCTGTTGAACAGCCCTGTCGGTTTTCTGTTTAAAGTTTGTAATTAAAACCTTTTGCTTTACTCAGTTTTGTGTTGGGGGGCTCGTGTATGTTACTCCTTCCCTGACGCCTAGCAGAGGGGGTCGTAACACACGCAGTAGAACATGGGAAGCTGCCAGAGAATTCAACATTAACAACAACTGAACAGTGTTGAGAGTTATTGGGAATGAGTTGGATAAAGTTTGACTTATCTGACTGCTTTGTTTCACTTAATGTGCCTTATAATCTGAGAAATACAGTATACTAATTTATTTTGTTTGTTCCAGTTTGTTTAAGTAACCTCTGAAACATTTCCTTTTTTAGGTGGACAAAGTGGAGAACCAAATATTGAAGGTGCTGTTTGACCTCAAGAAAAAACAGTTGGGGTGCTCCTCGTCTCAGAAAATGTTTCAGCGCATACCTGCACAGTTCTGTCAGATGGTTAGCCAAATTGGTTTCCATGCAGAGTGTGCACCACCTGAAGGTATGACAATGTTTCTTCTAACTGTATTAATGATAATTCTCTAGGATACATAATACCAAGCTTACCGAGATATCATAAAGGCATGTGAAAACAGCACTTAATTGTCTCTCTCTGGATCTAGACCCAGAATATGGACAAGGTATCTACTTTGCTAGGACAGTGAAGAAGGCCATGGACATTTGGATGTGGAAAAATGATCAGTATCTGTACTTTGTGGAGGCTGATGTGCTGACAGGAGAGTCCACCAAGGGTCAGCGAGGTCTCATTCTGCCACCTGCTAAAGGAACAGATCCAAAAGTTAGGTATGACAGTGTGAGTGGAGTGTCTGACATCTCTGTCATATTTAGCAGTTATCAAGCCCTGCCCAGGTACATCATCACCTGTAAGAAAAAGTATACCGAAATGGTCTAAAGGGTATCTTTAATGAGCATATTTACTATTAGAAAGAAATAACTGTTTGTATCAGTCATAGACTCAATATAATGGATATTAGTAGCAAAACATGAAGGAATGACTGGGCTTATTTTTCTCATAATGTATTGCTGAATAATAGCAGCAGCAAGTTATCGAAATCTATTTTATCACCGCACTGCTGCAAGGAGTAGAACCAATCACATGTTTATCAATCAAGATTGTAGTTTTTAGATTGAAAGGGTTCATTTGTTTAGTGGCATCTTGTGACTTCATAAATTTAGACATGATTATAACAGCAAATGCCACAATAAATATGAAAAGACTTTATTCTAGCTTTGCTTGTCCATAAAATAATGGTGGTGGTGGTGAACTCCATGATGAATGGGAGAATGAGTCATAATGGACATGAGTAGTTACAGTTTTCCTGTGTTGATGTCAGAATAAAATTAAAAATAAAATTTATTGTTTGTTTGAGGAATCTGGACTTATTTTATGTTTTGTTTTTATATTTTTGTTGTAACAACATTTACTGAAATATGGAAAAACAACTATTAAACACAGCAAAGCTTCAAGTGTGTCCAGATTTTTTTTTTTACTTAAAGCTCAACAACAAAACCTGATCAACTACACAAATTTAATAAAATAAAATACAAGTTAAACAACTTACAAAATGAAATACATGTATAAACATTATTCCTGTATACACGACACATGAAAAACAGAGTGAGAAGGTAATCATAACTATACAATGTCACAGTCTACTGAGCATGAAACATTTTCACCTTTGACCCTTGAAACAGTTTGACAGGAAAAACAAATAGTGTGTCCGTTTCACGAAGCGTTCAGCTGCATTTCAGTTCAGTTTCACAGACATCAGCAGATGAAGTTTGCTAAATTGGCCAGATTTACTACATGGGGCAAAACGGCATGTGAGCTCAAAGGTGTGGTTAACTTTACCAATGATTTACAAAACGTATTATGTTTCCAACACACACACACACAGTCAGCTCATTTTAATATCAAGCACAAAAATAACAATTGGAAACATTTTCATGTTTTATTCTGGATTAAATATTATCAGGATTAGCAATAAATTGTGTTGCAAACATTAGTAAATCAATTTGTGAGCTTTAAGAATTCTCTGTATATTTTGCACCTAGAAAAAGGAACTCATAGAAATATATGCAGCAGGGGCAAAAATCTCAGTTCAAAATCTCCTACATGCCATCTTGTCACTGCGCTCTCTTTCTAGATACCAACAGTACTTTCTTTAATGCCTAAACCCAGTTTGGATTGGCTCAGTGTTTGAGTAAATCTGGGTTCCAATTTCAGTGAGGATGTACTCACACACATCATGGCTGTCACCACTCCACTGATCGCCTGCACTCACCCTTAACAGTCTGGGCTCAGAGTGTGCATCAGTGTGTGTCTACAGTGACGTTCATGATGTTATGCATCCAGTTTCATTTTAAAGTGCTGACACTTCATCCTCTCATATGCCTTATAGATTTGTGAAGTGCTGAACACAGTGATTTTCACACAGGCAGCTGTCATTGAACAACTGCCGGAGTTACATGTAAGTACTTGTGCACGATTAGTGGTCACATAACATGCACATGTTGAGTCCAACTGAACCTGGACTGGAGCAGTTCATGTAACCCTGCCGGGGTGGAGCATGCAGCAGTCTGGTCAAACAAACTGGAAAATGGGAAACAAACATACTCGGGTATGGCACAGCTTTCTTAGTGTGAGTACAGCCTTAGTGAACGTCTCTTACCAAACATTTGCTTCACATACACTGGAGAAATCCTTAATATTTAATAACCATGATTTTATTAAAATATTTTTAGCTCAAATTCTGTATTATCCATAGACTGCATGTATAAGATGGACATAGCTTCCATACTGGTAAAATGAAGCCAATGCCTTAACCTGCATCCTTTCTAATAGCCAGCAGGGGGCGACTTCTGTACTTGTAGTTAGCAGGAAAAAAAACTCAACAGATTTCAGTGGAAAAGGAGCCCTCTGTCATTTGAGCTGTGACCTCGGTAAACACTTCATTAATTAATCAGTGGTATCAATCACTACATTTACATCATATCTAATACATGATGTTCAGAAAGACGATAACGGGGGCAATGACCGATCGACCCCGCTTCTGTGACATCTGGTTTAAAAACCCTAAGAGGGTCACAGTGGACAGCTGAAGGGTCCAAAAATGTGGCTTTGACAAATGTGGGTGACATCACAGTGGCTTTGTCCATCATACACTCTATGATACTACCTCATGAATTGACAGCACAACACAGTCACAGATCTTTCTAAAGAGAACAGAACGTCTTTAAAGTATGTTTGGACATCAGTGAGTGATTGCAGCTGTGTAAATGATTTATGCCTAAGTGAAAACTGAGAACAACGCACCCTGTAAATATTCTGACACATCAACAGCAGGCCATTGGAAGCTAATCACTTCATATCAACAGAATTAACCAATGGAAACACAAAGCATGTAACAGGCCAACACCAGAACAGGAACCAGTCCACTGCTACATTCAAGGAATAAAGTTACCCCGTTGTTGAACCTCCCACTCCACAACATTTGAAAATACAGGAAAGCTAGCACAAAGGTAAGAGAGAATGAGGTGAGGGTTTACTGGGACAGCTCACTGGTAACATTTGGCTGTGTGATACAGTACTTCTTCAAAAGCAGCTGCTTGTGTTAAAACCCTGGCTGAGAGAGAATAATGTGGCACATCTGGACTCCCGTGTTGATGATATTACTGAGATTAATAGTGTTAATATGATTATAAAGACCAGTGCACACATCAAATATCCAGTGTGAACATTTGGAGACAGTAAATGCTTGTTTCTGGCATTAGTAGCTGCCCTCGGTCTTCTAAAACTGCTCAAACTTAGCTTTTGTCTTCAGCTATGCTATTTACAGGACAGCTTTCACCAGTATATATATGGCTAATATACTCCGCACACTACAGCAGCAATGCATTGTTTCTCTCAGTTGGTCCCTGACTTTATCAGCTTTAAATCACCTCGCGCCCTCACTCGGCGTCACAGATACAAAACCAGATCTCTGCTGTCATCCAGGCGCAGTCACGCTCACTCTGTGCATTCAGCGATCTCCGTGCCGTCCACGAGCAGCGTGTGAATGATCCCGTCTCGTCTCTTCCCGCTGCTCACAGCTTTCACGCAGCAGTTGTGGTCTCCGAGTGTGAAGTGCGTCTCTGTGCCGTCGTCCACAAACTCACCCTGCAGGCGCAAATCGCAAAAGCGTGAACTAAGAAAGGAAGCGTCCTGTTCCAAACGAAAATAATGATCCAATATGATATCCCAAAAGAAAACAATGCACCGCACCACACAAGCACCCAATCAATTTATATTCAAAGGCAATGAGCAGATAAAACAACAACCAGGAATACACAAACAATCATCAGTAAACAACTTATGGTTTTACAACTGTTGTTAACTATTCAATATAATAAGACCAACACCCCAGATAAAATGACATATCCGAACACAAAGACAATATCCAAACCAAATTTTAATACACAAAACAAGTACACACAGCCTAATCCTTAATGTGAATGCCTCCCATCAACATAAGCACTCTTTAATGAATCTATGATTTATACCATCTCTCTTGCAGGGTCCCCGGGTCACAGACTAGTGGTCTGTTACTAAGGGAACTGCTGCTCTAATAACAACCTGTATTATGTCACTCGTGTTTTACTTACTGCAGTCTCAATATTTTGTCCGTTACACCAAACATCCATGGTGTCTTTCTCTGAAAGTAAAAAGACAGATTTTTTTAAATTAATATTTACCAGATAAGCATTTAAAAAAAATGTAAGTAAACTGGCCCAGACACAGCTGCTGAGCCAGTGAGAGCAGGTTAGTGACTAGCTTTAACTTTAGGTGTAATGTTGCTGGGTGCTGGAATGAGAAAGTTTATCTGTCTTGTGGTTTCCAGTCCTAGTCTGACTCATATCTATTCTGCGTATTTAATCACTTGTAGGTGGTTTCTGCAAACTAAGAGCCAGATTTATGGTCTGCACCAGCACAGGATTCTCCGCTTGACATTATAAAACCACAGCTGACATTTGTTAAAGAGCCACAGCATTGACTTTGTGACTGAAAGGCGATGCAACGTCTGATCTGAGCAACGCCCTTGTTTGCCTTAATCTTTATCTGCATTCATCTGCTCTCTGCAGTGAAACACTAAACAGAACTAATAAAGTTACTTTCACTGAAGGCAGGGAAGAGAAAAGACTTCAGACCTGCAGGACCACATGAGTCTATGCACAGACTGAGTTATAAAGACAAGAAAAATGGAAAATGCCTCCAATGGCAGAACACTGGCTGCTGCATACTGAGTAAATGAGTAATTACACACAATTACAGCCTATTAGAGTTCATTTCACAGAGATATTATCTTTGTGCTAATCTAATATACTGTTCATGCTGTATATTATTCCAAAGAGTTGCTGAGCTCTGTTTGACTACTATAAATCAAGTCTTTGTTTGTTTCTGTTTCTCAACAAGAACCAAATTCAGGCTGCTCAGTTACAGCAAAAATCACAACCACAGTTATCTTGATCAACATCAGGGTAATGAATATTTAACATGATAACCTGACTTTTAATAAAAGTTGTATTTACTGTGTCTTGCCAGAATCCTTTGAACAAAGTGTTTCTGGATTAATTTACATTTTCCTGTCTGTCTCAGTCTACATGCCAAAGCATTCTTAGGCATGATACTTAACCCCAAGTTGTTTTTCAATGTGCTCATCAGAGTGTGACTGTTAGATGGAAAGCGCTTAGGTGTAGAAGTGCTTGTATGAATGTGTGTGAATAGTTGAACAAGACATGCTGGATAAAGCATAGTACAAAATGTACTACATACAGTGAAAGACAAACCACAGAGATTGTTTTTAATATAAAGTTTAGTTTAATATTTCCATTCTTTCCCAGCTGGGATATCTCTGTTACAAATGCAGACAATGCACAGTGGTTATTTGCGACATGTGCTTTCAAGGCAGTTTGCCACTTGATCCACTGTAAGCAGTACAATTATATGAAGGATTAACTCGCCCAGATCACAGACACGGCTGTATATGGTCCAAGCTTAGAGTAGTTAAGGAGCTTAGGCTCAGCTACTGCATAATATTAGAGGGTGGCTGTGAAGTGGCATAAATCACACTGTGCTAAATATCAGGTCTATATCTATCCTGACTGACTATGTAGATGAATTAAAGCTTTATGTATCTTAGATATATATTTGTATTTTATAACCTATTAAAGCTATAAAATAAGTTGCATCTTTTCTCCTATGAGATCATGTTTTGGGTTGTTGGGAGGGGTTTTTTTTGCATAATTTTTGCAGAATCTTGAATATAGAGCTTTTCTGTATGAATAAAAAAATCATAATTATAAGCTGTCACAGTAACAGAAGTAAAAGGACAAGAGCTGAATGATACAAACACTGAGAGGAGCTCACCCAGGACCACTCTGCAGTCAATGCCGTCTAAGTTGAGCAACCAGGTGCTGGTGACCTTTGACCTGTTCTCCATGTACTTCTTCAGGCTCTTCCCGTTGATCTCCAGGGTGTACTCATAGGCAAAGCCACTGACTGCATCTATATTGATAGTGGCTTTGGTGTCTGAACTGCCCACGCTGAAAGTTTCCTTCCCCACCAGTTTGAACATCCAGTCCCGCCTCAGGACCTCCTGGAGCATAAATCAGAAAATCACAGGAGCTGATGAGGCTGACCTCAGAAACACTCAAATAAAATCAAATAAATTAATAAATAAGATTAGTCCAGCAAAACACGTCCAGTGTTTCCCCGGCTAACAGTATGACTGCACACCTTTCCATCCACGTAGATGACCCTCTTTCCGGTGGTGGTCCCGTGTTCAAACTCGATTCTGTGAACTCCATCACTCAGCGCCACCTCCCACACTCCAGCGAGATCATTAGACATCGTGAGTCCTTCAGAACCTGCTGGAGAACCAAACTACAGCGTGAATCGAAACCAAGGGCAGCTAATACCCTGTGCTAACCTCAGCTGCTATTAAAGAAATGAAAGCTAACAATGCTCGTATCTCTGCGGCTCTTAGCCCGCCGGCACGAATCCCCCCCGGCTACTTCATTACAGCAACTACAGCTACGGCGTTGGAGTATTAATAGCGAGTTATAACTGTGACAGAAACACGGCTAAAGAGCGCAGCTACAATGTTACTCTTTGTGGCATCTAAACTTCCGGTTTCGGGAGTGTTCTTTCAAAGTAAAAGTGGAAAAACGGGTGTCAAACCTCAAAGAGAATCAGAATCAGAATACTTTATTAAACCTTGAGGAAATTGTGTGGTTATAGTTGCTCGAAGAAGGAAGAACAGTAACTGTCTAAACTAAATTAAATAATTGAATATATTATAAAGTTATAAAATAGAATAACTCCCAGTATATAACACAAATTAAATATATATGCTTGAAATTGTACTGTAAACTGTGTTGTTCACACTGCACAGGTTGTGCAGATATTAAGGATGTGCAGCTACTGCAGTGTGTACTGAGGATTAGATCGAAGAGCCAACTTCTAGGCCTTTTCAGAGTGTGATTACAGCTGTGAATTACAGATAAGCTATTAATAAGTCATTAATTACTTTCTTCTTTTAATAATTATTATTGTGACTAGTATTATAAAATAAAAAAATGAAATTCCTGGAAAATAACACTATAACTCTATCTAGACACATTATATAACTTATTACATTAAGGTTATTTCTCGTAAGAGACTTTTTCTACCTCAGGCTCGTCATCAACTGTTCTCTAAAAGGAGTGCTTATTAAATAAGAAACACAATTCAACAAATAATGTACACTTTTGTTCTGTCTGGACAGCTATTTAAAGGGGAGTGATATAAGAGATATCACTGAGATGTTTTTCACACCTGAAGCTCTGGTCGCGTCTACCGTGTTCAGTGTGTACGCACCGTTACAGTTTCAGCTTTTTTTTTTAAATTTCTTTTAATGGTGGTTTTGGTTAATGTTTAACACAGTGAAAAATCTTTCCTTGAAATGTTTCTTTAATATAAGTTATTATGCTATGATGTTAACAGTGTTGGGGAGTAACGGAATACATGTACCACCGTTACGTATTTAAAATACAAAATATGAGTAACTGTATTTACAGTTACCGTTTAAAATGGTGGTATTTAGAATACAGTTACTTTGTTGAAATAAATGGATTACACGGCGGTATTTTCCTGTTTCATATTGTGGCGGGTCAGGACTGTTTGGGTTTTGTTTGACAGCTACGCGCGCTCTCTGCGACTGTGTGTTTCCTGGGTGAGAGAGCTCTTTTTGTTGTTGTTGATGTTGTTGTGCTAAGCTATGCCGAGCAGTTTGGTTTCTGTTGGAAAATAAACGGCTGTGATTTAATATGAATGCAATAGGCAGAGTGTTACAGGCATAGCGCTAAAGAATGTAGCCTCATGAGCAGTGTAGTCCGCACTGCAGGGAGAATGAACTACCATACCCGTTATGTGTCTGTGAGCGATGGAGGGAGAAAAAGGAGAAAAGTACGAGTTGTCATCGAGCAGAAACGGGAGCTGGAAGCATGTAAATATAATAATAACCACTGCAGCCAAAAGCCCAGTTGTAAGCACGCTATTAAGACTCGACTGTACACTGTGTTTGTGTTTTCCCCCGAAACAATAAGTTCGTTGGAGCAGTCTTTCAACGCCTCTCTCTGTCTCTCGTCTCTCTCGCAATCAAAGTTGACCCAGACAACAAAGAAAAGCTATTTTTCTGCTACGAGCCCAACACGAACCCGAAGTATTAGCCAGAGGTTCGGAGCCGCGGACCTTCAGTAATAGTAATAAATCACACAGCAATAGTACATTCATGTAGTTGTAAAAAGCACGATAATATGTTAAGTAATCTAAAGTATTCAGAATACGTTACTGTCATTGAGTAACGTAACGGAATACGTTACAAAATACATTTTGGGGCATGTATTCTGTAATCTGTAGTGGAATACATTTTAAAAGTAACCTTCCCAACACTGGATGTTAATAGCCTCGCCCATCTGATGTCACATGCACAAGGAGCAGAAAATATTATAATGAATATTTAAACTATTAAACTGGTTGCTAAGAGAAAAAATTAAAAATAAAATTGGGGAAAACTGTGTTAAACTGCCTTCACATTGAAACACTTACTAACGCTGTTGTTTTTAAGTATTTAAAGACCCTTAACTGCGATTGTTAACCACTTTAACCAGCACACATAAAAAAAATCAGCATTCACGCACTTATATTTTTTAATTTACAGCTTGACACAATTTCTGATTTCACAGTAATATGAGAAAATTTTATCATATGGGTCATATGATTGTTGGATTTTTCTCTGTATCTATTATTATAGGATATACTGTACAATATAAAGCGCCTTGGGGCGGCTGTTGTTGTGATTTGGCGCTATATAAATAAAATTGAATTGAACGTAGTTTTATTTTGAAAATAAAGCGGAAGTCTTACTCCAATAGTAACGCACTCTGCTGCAGGCTTGATCACAATTTGTGGGTCTGACCGCTAACGTTATCTTCTGCGCTGTGAAAGCATGACCTCAAAGGCTATCTGGTGGAATACGATCCACCATTACAGCTCCATGTTACCTGCCCGGTCCTGAGATGCTCCCTGCAGCTCCGCGGCGCGTAAAAATGGCCCAGCAACCACTTTAACGCAGTTTTTCCACAGCTCCTGCGGACAACCAACAGATGAGCTGCGGCTATGCTGTTACTATGGTAACATGGAATCGGCCTACGCGCAGGCTTCTCCCCGCCCACTCCGGAAATAGCAGTGCAGGTACCAGATGTGTTTAGATTGTAGGATTGTAGGAGCAAAAGTTAACGACATATTATATATCGTTCAAGACTTTATTTCCACGTAAACAGACCTGGAAATAAAGTCTGTCATGCAAAAATAGAGTTTGTACAATTATAGCAAACATAAAATTCAAGAGTCCGAACTTTTGTAATTTCTTTAAGTATCTTCAGCAGTAGTTCTCCAGGGTTCTTCTGAAGGACATTCAGAGCTCTTTCTTTGTCTCTGCCTTTGGTTCTGTTCTCTGTAATGATGATCTTTTCTGTTTCAATAACGTAGAGGCCCAGGCTCTGGTTAAGCCCATCCATGAAAACACTACTGAATTGGCAGTGTGTTTTCTTTATTTCTTAAGATCATCGGCTTCACTTACTGCACCTAACTGAGACACACTGCACACCATGCTGAGGTATGCCAAAGATTCAGCTAATAGCTCTTTAGGACTTTATTGGTGCAAAAATGCTATTTTATGTCTGTTGAACTGTGATATCTTTGGCATTTTTTTATAGATTCAGATAAAGAAATGGGCAAAGTATGTATTTTTCTGACAACCTGCTAGTAACAATGAACCTAAATGTTTTTTAAAATCTCCAATCTCCAGCAAATAACTTTGAAAGACCAACATCAACTACTGAGCACTGTAAAAAAAATGATAAGAAAGTCTGGCTTCTTGGGAATAAAATATAAAGAAACAACTGGTGGCTCAAGATTTTTGCACAATACTTGGTATAACACATGAAAAGAAGGTTGGATTTTATAGTCGGACAAAAGTTCTGTTGTTTGTTTGTTTTTTCATGCAAATGGTTAATCACCAGATAAAGTTATTATTTTTATTTATTTGTTTATTTATTTTTATTTATTTATTAAAAACACTGCATTGCAACAACTCTCACAGTGAACACATACCTCCATCTTCCTTTTAGCTTCTTTTTCTTGTATATCTCATTATTTTGTTTGTTTTGTATTCCTGACATTATTTGCATTTTTTCAGCTTTTCTTTTTAGTTAAAATATAGATATATAATTATATATATAGCACATCAAAAATATATAAGACAAAGCACATCAGCGTGTCCTGGAAACAAGGCCACCCGTGAAGGACAGCTCACATATCAATACACTAGAAATAGCCCAGTAGTTAATAGTTAATATTTTAGCACAACATTCTGGGGATCTGGTACTCCTCCCCTCAGACATTTGACCTGCAGGGGGGCAAAACGCTGATGAGCTTTTGTGTGTTGATTTGTGCAGCAAATGTTTTTATTTATAGTATTAACATAGTGGAATAAAATGCAATGATGTTTTGTTTGTATTTTGTTTTGCTTTCAAACAAGTTGTGTGGGATTCAGAGCATCAGTGTGTTTTCTGTGATTAGCGTACACCTGTGTTTTGAAGTGACTGTTTTCATGGTGTTTTTGACTATGTTGCAGAGGCTGACTAAAAACAAAAATGTCACACAATATCGATTTAAAATTATTACGCAGATAAGCAAAAATAAATTCCTCTGAATATGGAAACGATGCCTCACCACTGGCATGAAAAATGTCCTAATATGGGACATCCTCCTTCTCCTTTTTCATTCTGCTTCTCTGTGACTAAGGTCACAACTGTGCAGCCTGTGTGTGCGCGTGGGTGTGTTCTTGTGGTAATTCCTTTTACCACAAAGTATATTCAGCTCCAGCTCCAGAAATATGCTTTTTGTGCAGTCTTGCCTCTGTGCATCACCACAGGGTGTTTTAAGTCTAACAAAAAATCAAGATATGATTGAAGTTAATTTAATAGTTTTACCAAAATGATTGTATTAAGTATTGTGCTATTTTTACCCCCCACAGACACACACAAACACACACATCATCTTTAGAGGCTCAAACAACTTTATTTTTTTAATCCTTGGATTAAAACCCTTTGCTAACAATGAGGGCCTGAAGTCTAGAACATGCATGTCACCAAATGCTGTCTTAATTGTCTTGAGATTAAAATATGCAACTTCCTCCCATTCTGCCTTTTACTGCAGCCACTTTCAGTTCCTGCTTATCTGCGTTAACCTCTAGTGTCATGATGATCCACAAATTTGTTATTAGGAAGTGTTTTTTCTGTGTAAGTCCAGGGGCAAATGCATCTGTTCTGTTAACTAAAGGAAGCGTTGATTACATCTAAGAGCTCTGAAAGTGAGGAAGCACCTGTAAGAGCTGGTTGAACTCTTGAACCTAAGCTTTGTTCATTTTTTTCTGTTTTTATTTCTTAACCTTCATGTGCAAGTCTTCTGTCAAAATATTCCCAGTAATTTAATTCCAGCAGAATATTTGATGCACTGCTGCCCTCACATGCATTTTAGTTACTT